GGTTCCAATGCGAGCGGCTGGTTCATGGATGGGCAGAACAAGATTTCGCAGCCTCTCTACTTCCCAGCAGACCATCCGACGATGCCGAGATGGTTTAAGGGGATGGAGCAAATCATTCAGGAGCGTGGTCTCTGGCCGGAGCGCGGTTTGAAGGCTCAATGCTTTGACAGCTTTGCCAAGTGCCTACCAGGCTGCACCGGCTGCTGCTGTCGGCGTTTGCTCTTCAACCAACCTGACTTTGTCTCGCAGAAGCCCCAGCTGCAGGAATATATTGAGTCCCGCGGTCACTTCTGCGACTTCTATCCCAAGTACCACCCAGAAACTAACTTCATAGAGCAATACTGGGGCTATTCAAAGCTCCATTACCGCAATACACCTCCGACAAACAACATTCAAGAGATGGAGAAGAATGTGAAGGAGGCCCTTGACAAGGCTTCGCTCCTTCAAATTTGGCGGTCAGCACCCGTATCTCTCATACTATTATTATATTTATCATTGCCCTTGTGTAGATGGGCAAATCGTGCCGCCCGTTTCATTTCCTCATACGCACAGGGTCTCAATGGCGCGGAGGCGGCATATGCGAACCGGAAATTCCACGGGCACCGGATGTTACCAGCCCATGTCGCAGCTTCTTTGAAGGAAGAGTTTAAGAAATGGCTTAAGTCTAAACATAAGAACTGAAAAATATGTATTCTACCTCTCTACAACTGTCTCGATCCCTCGGATTTTGCGCAAGCGCCCATGCCACGTGCGCTGCTTATGTAAGGGTGCCCGTTCCTGGCGACCCCTACCTTACGCATATTGTATGCGCAGCCACGGCGCATGCATAATTCGCACATGTAAACGCTCAATTAGGCTGATGGAACACAATTAACAGTCGCAGCTATCCAGTGCACTGCCACGCAATCCATGGCAGAGGGCACACCCCACGGAATAAAAGCGTCGATGAGGGCATTCTGTCATCGTTGTAGCATGCGATTCACTGATAGAGCTTGTCCTGAGCGCTAGCTTAACTGGTGATGCATGATGTGCAGTGTCCAGGGTCTTGATAAATAAATTCTAACGCCCGGAACCCCGATCCTCTTCAGCTTGGGCTTGGGCCCGTGACATGCGAGTACTTTATCATAATGGCCTGAGCTCTCACCAAATCGATACCAGCCAAACTCGCCATACCTTTTGCTTGCATCGCCTAATACAACCCACGTTTATCTACGGACAAGATTCCACGCGTACGCCGTCTGTGTTGGGAATGTCTACTTTAGCTCGCCGAAGATAGCATTTTGTACTGCTCATCTTGCGGACATAACACCTGCCTCTCTCGAAAGTCTCATAATCGACTTCTGCTAGTCTACACGCCCTTCTGGAAAGTTCCCGTTGCGTCTGCTGACGGCTGACGACTTAGACGTTCGTGTCTTACTTGCTAGACATGATGAGGCCGAAGCTGTACGCTCGTTGAAAATCTGTCGTTCTCATGAAGCCGAAGACACCTTCTCTAGCAATACCCCGGGCTCTCCATGCCCGGCGCAGACATTCGCTCTTGCCTCTGTAACGCAGCACAAATTCTCGTCTTCCACGGCCGTCGAACACCTATTAAAATGTTTGGCAGGCATCCTAGCGGCTTCATTGCGGATGATCACTACCTCTCAGATACACGCTTCCCGAAAGGAGCTGAAGATACCCTGACATGCTTCATGTGCGCTGCTGACTATCGTGCTTGCTGGTCTGGGACACGCTTGGGTGGTGGCCTAATAGGCAGGGCTCAGCGTGGAGTTTGAGGGATGGGTGCGTTCCCCAGAGCTCCAGTGATATCTATCACTGACGAGGTCATGTTAGTTTTTTCTAGTGGTGCAGCCTAGCATACTCGAACAAGTCACTCCAGAGCGAACCCGTTGCACGAGCTGCTATACTCGACTGCATCTTTCCGCGTACTTTACCACTAAGCATCTGCTAGATGCTCTAGCTCAGTTCGCCGTAAACAGGTCACTGGTCGACGCTCGCTCGAATCACCAGAAATCGTTGTACTGCTGCTGCAATTCCTACAGCTCTTCAACGCGTGTAAGCTGGACGAGAAAGACCGTATAGGCAAATTTCGCAGTCTTTTCATTTTCCTCCCCCATGTACACCTGCTATGCATCCCACCGTCCGCACGCCCAGCTCCCCGTGTCGCCGCCCGGACTGACGTCGAGAATCCATGCAATATACCTATACGGGCGCATAATTATGTGGCAAATCTTCCGCGGCTGCCAGGTGCAAGGGCAGCGAGCTCGGCGATACAAGGATCCTCTGAGTGCCGCGCGGCCCGACACCCCCTTGCAATCGGCGTTGATCCTCGCTCGCTCGTCTTTCCCGGCTCTACCCTTGATCGTCCTCCCATCACGAGCGGTGACATCACCTGTGTATTGCTTGCAAGTCCGTAAATGTCCGTTCTGCTCATCGAGGCGTATCTCAATGCCAGCTATTTACTCGCGACGTCGTCCGGAGCTACTAAAGTGCTGGAGTTGGTACTCAAAAAATATTATGTCAAGTTTTTAAAGGTGTGCCTTGACCCGAGTCTACGATAGCTCATTACTGATTTCGTTACCATGTAGTTCTAGTAGGCTCTAGTAAAATAACTCGTTTTGTTCACTTGAAGTCTGCACGTACGATTGTCTGGCGATCAGCGACCTGAATGCGTGCCAGCTCGTGCGGTAGCCCATTATTCTCACCCGGCGTACTTTGAAGAGAATAAGTTGTGGATGACGCTGTCCCCAAGCAAGGTATAAACGTACGACACACTAGTCAGTCCCATGATATTTCCCTTTACTCCGAAACAGATGCAGTGCAGACGAAAAGATGCATTTGTCCGCTGCAGTCCTCGCCCTCTTGTCAGGCAGCGATCTTGTGCGCCATCCGCTCTCGCGCCATCCCTCGCATCTATCGCCCACCATGTCAGTCTTCACGCCTTCCCTCACATCTCCTCTCCTCTCCAACTCCACGTCCGATTTATGTGTCCCCTTTCCATATCCCGGCAGCTCTAAGCTCCATTCGTGCAACTAGTTCGGGGCTTGAGCTCGTACAGGGCCGCGGGCTCGAAGGCCTGCATGACGCCAACAGCAAACTCTGTAGTGCAGAGGGTGTACCTAGGGCCTCACGGTGTGCGTCGCGCTGAAGCGGAGCGATGAGACGTGGAGCTTCCTAACAACCTATGCTGGGAGAGGAGTTGCAAGGCGTGTCCGGGTTGCTGTCCAAGGCGGACGACACGGCACGGTAGAAGATGGTTCGTGCGGGCCAACAGTCTTGGTCACGGACCGCAGGTACACGAAGACGATGGGGCAAGCACATATCCAGGGACAGGGATGCTGCCTCCGCAACGGATGGCGGCGGTGGTTATTCGGGGGTTTAGGTAGCGTATTATGAGGAAGAAGAGCCCGACTCGGCACTAGATGAGATGGTACTTATTGGTAGAAGAGGTGAAAAAGGGAAACAGGAAGGCACAATCCTGAGCTAACGACGTGGAAGGTTGGCCAGCACCCTTCCTTCCGCGCGAAGCAAAGGCATCGCACTGGAGATAGTCGCCCGAATCTCGGGCCCTGAACTCAGACACAGTATGTGGCAACGAAATCTAAGTGGGGGGTCTGCCTGTCTGGAGATTTCAGCGAATGAGATATCCAGAGATGCCAGCATTTCTGCTAGACCCTGTATCGGAATGTAGTCGGAGAGGATTATGATAGCGACCGCCTTGATACGCCAAAGGATTTCTCTCGACTCTTTCGTTTTCTCTACCTCGACCTTGATCGCAAGGGTATTATGCCAATCAACTGCGAAAGTGTTAGAGATATAGGTGAGAATCATAACAGCCTGTCCAGGTCTCACCAGTAAAGTACTCGGTAACTCGATTTCCCGAGTCGCCGTTCATTGACATATTACATTGCACTTGCTCAGCGTCGTGGGCGAACAATACATGTAGGCCTCCCACAGCTTGAGCTATTCGCAGAACGGCATACTCGTCGTCATGGCGTAGTAAGATCCCATTCACCTGTCGACGGCTTTGCGAGGCGATAGCGGGTGAGGAGATCAGTTCGGGCTTGCCGCGCAGGCCAAGCGAGACGAGTGCAGGAGCTATACACGCGGGTACTTTGCAACGCACCACTTGGAAAACCCGCAGCTCCGTCAAAAGAACTGATGGCGGCCAGTAGAAGTGTTCCGTAGTTTCCAGGACCGCCACTTGCATGAGGTGGATATTCTGGATTCGGGGCAGTCCACGAATGACGCGAAGGAGGTGCGTAAGGGATCGGAATTCGACCCGGTCTATGTGCAGGGAGAGGAGGTCGCGGAATGGGCGAAGAAGAGCTGAGATGGCGGCCTCGATGCGTGGCGGTGCTTGCCGGATATGTGCTGCAGTGCCTGGTGCGCTACATGTCTCCAGCCAGCCGATGTATCGAGCCTTCCGGGAGAAGCGAGAGCCGACCGATGAAAGAACAAGGGCCAAGCTCGGGGCTTCGAGTGGTTGGATGACCATGCTGCCTACGCGCAGCTCACGCGGAAGATGCGCGGGGTTCATAGACCTAGATATATCGTACAATCTGCGAAGCTGAGTTACGTTTCCGATGTGGATACGCTCGAACATGGTAGGGCGGCATATCCATGCCCACGTCCAACAGACCATGGCAAGCCTGCTCAAAGCTGCAATGTCTCTGAGTAGTTAGGAGCACGTTAACTTAGCTGAACTCTCCTCGACGACCTTAATAAGAGACTACTCACTCTCTTGCAGCATCCGCAGCAAAGGCAGCTATAATGATAATGATCTCTCTGGGCAACGACCTAGCGTCTTCCAAAAATTTCCTCCGCCATGTGGTGGAGTGGGCCCCCGTCCAAGAGCTTATATCGTAGGTGAAGCGATACTGTCCAAAGTTGGCGGTGATTCGCAGGTGGGTCGTCTCTGAACTCTTCTGTTGCACGCGTACAACAGGGCACAGTGCCTTTCCCTTAAGCTCACTAAAGTATTGACGCGAATCATCTGTGGTCGTCATCGCCTGACATTGAGCACACTATGCGAGGTCTGCATATGCTTCCTAAAATCGACATACCAAGGATAACACCGTCCCTGGTGTAGAATATATGACCATCGATGCGTGAGACAGCGCATCCTAGTGTAACCCTGCCTTCATATCTCACGGAGTCAGCTGAGAATACGGGGTATTTCGCTATAATAAGCTCACCTGAAGCGATGGCGTAGGTAGCGTCTGCAGCCAGGAGAATTAGTCTATCTAAGACGATCAAAAACTTTTTGCCGTAGCCATGGTGCATTAAGGAGCCAACTCCAGAAGTGGTGAGTGTATCTGCGGTTCTTGGCTGACTATCCTCGATAGCCGCGGAGCTCGTCGAAGTAGACGACCCAGACAGAAACCCAGGCGGACTGATTACGAATCCGATAGTGATTATCATGTTGCATAGCCTAGCAAGTATCATAAGTGCGGACCGTAATGAAAACCGGTAAGATCCCTGATTTACCTCGGCCTTACCAGGCGCTGGAGGGTCTCCAAGTCGATGGAAACACGGACTTCATAGTAGTATAACGGATAGAGCGGATCGACGCTGCACTCCGCCACATACGACTCCTCCACCTCGACCACCTCACCTCGGCGAGCGCGGAATGACTGGCTAATCTCCACACGATCATTATCAACTTTGACCTCGCGAGGGAGATGTATCGTTCCCCAACACTCCGGTAACCTCGCGCAATCGCACAGTCCGCGCAGAGGGTGGGGAAGGTTTCTGTCCAATATCGTTCCTTCCAGGTAACTCCGCGCGTGCAGAAGACGATTCTCCAACAGGGGCATGGCTCGTATGTGACTGAGAAGAAGGGCTGGGGCTGGGGGAGGCTTGACTGGGATCCAGCACGCATCTTATGTGCGCAGCCACGGCGCATGCGTGATCCGCACATGTAAACGCTCAATTGGGCTGACAGAACCCTATTAACGGTCACAGCCATCCAGTGCACTACCACGCAGTCCCAGATGACAGAGGGCACACCCTAGGGAGTATAAGCGTCAACGAGAGCAATCTATCATCGCTGTAGTATGCGATCCATCTAATCAAATGCTCAGCGATACAAGGAAAAAAGGGACGAGAGGCCATACATTCAGTGGATCCATACGTATACTCGAATCGAGTGAGATCGCAGCAAACAGCTTCGTAGCATTTGCTTAGTTGTAGTTGTCCCTGCTGTCCTACAGCAAGCGGGGATCTAGCTTCGATTGCGGCGCAGGAGGTGGACAGTCATGGACAGGCACTGGCTTAGAGCGATTGCAGGTCCTCGAAACCAAGGGTGTTCCTGTAGCGTCGTGGGTGGTCAAGGCTGCCGGCGTGGAAAGCGTAACATACGAGGCCAGGTCCTCAAAAGGACCTGAAAAGACTAGTAAAAGCACAGCTCACCTGGGTAGCTAGTGAGCTAGAGAGTACTTGTCGAGTGTGAAGAGACGCGACATGACGCACAGCTCATGGTATATCCGAGCAAGGACGACGTTCTGTCTCCAACATGCCACTAGTAATCTTCTGAGGAAGAGGGAAGTAACAGGTCAGCTGTCGAGAAGAGCGAGCGACTCACCATATAACAGGCTCTACAGGTCGAACGTCTGGCGACCACGAAATGCAGGGGACAATAAAAATACCAAGTACAGCACTCTCAGACTCCTGCAGATCAGCGAAAAAATAAATATTAAATTCTTGCCTTAAAATCAGTCAGGGCGCTAAGCTACCCTTCCGTCCCGTCACCACAACTATGCCCCAATCTCTCAAGTAGGACAAGCCGCTCCGTAGTGTCGACTGTTTGCTGACTGGACTAAAGTATTGAAAGGTTCCACTCTCTCCTCAAGCTCTCGGGGGCGTACCTCGCAACTGTGAGCGCCCGCGAAGACCTCGGCGACGACGAGCGGTTTGCGCGAGCGCTGTTCCTCTTGGTACGTGCACTCCGAGGTCTCCTCCGCGCAAGCATGTTCACAGCTGTCTCAAAGCACCAAGTCCACAGCCTCATTTTCGATGCTGAGTTACTAGTAGGAGGTCGCTGCGAAGTCTCGCTCCCGAGCAACGTGCAGCGCCTAGGGCGGTGCATGGCGGGCTGTCCCGAGAATCCGGGCGAGCCCATGTCGATGAACACATTTCTTGCCCAGCTCAACGAATACAGCCCGCCGACGGCTGACGAGCAAAAGTTCGACGACCATTCCGCGCGCACCTGGTTCGGTGTCAAAGACATATACTGTGCTCCGCCGTGAAGCCATCCGCTTTTCAGCCGCGTTATATAGTTACATCATCGTATTTCGCACTTCTCCTACAATGATGGGATACAACACTCCATAAGTCAGTACGTATATTACAAGGGGTCACAGTACACGCCGCAAAGATACATACACCGGTCGTCATGCAGCCGGTAGGGGGCCTACACAAGCATGCCCGCAATACCAGCAGCCTGCAACGTCGAGATGAACCCGCAGATCATCGCGCTCACCGCAATGCGCGCGATGATCTTCGCGCGGCTCGGCGCGAGCGCACTGAGCACGCCGATCTGGATGCCGAGCGAGCTGAAGTTCGCGAAGCCGCAGAGCGCGTACGACGCGATCGTGTAGCCGCGCTCGGACAGGATGGGGTACGGGCCGGCACCGCTCATGATGCCCTGGAGCTGGGTGTAGCCGACGAACTCGTTCGCGACGAGCTTCGTCGCGAGCAGCTCCGAGACCGTCAGGATCTCGTCGCGCGGGACGGACAGGAAGAACGTGACGGGGTAGAAGACGTAGCGGAGCACGAGCTGCAGCGTGAGCGCGTGGATGCCGAAGCCCTGCCCGATCCACGTCAGCAGGCCGTTGATCGCCGCGACGAGCGAGACGACGGTCAGCACGTTCGCTCTGGAGACGCACGGGTTAGAGGTGAGCGGATGAGAGCGAACGGGCGACGTACAGGATCTGGCCGGCGACGACGAGGCCGAAGAGGGCGCCTTGGCTAAACGCGTGCAGCGCATTGGCCGGCCTGTTCTTGTCCTGGTCTCCACGGTCGACGACGACACGGCCGCGCGTGACGGGCTCCTCCTGCTCCGGCATGCGCATCTTGCTGATCGCGATACTCGCCGGGATACTCATCATCGACGCCGTCACCAAATTCTGGGGCGGGACGCCAAGGCCGATGTACGCGGACAGCACCGAGCCGGCGATCGTTGAGAAGCCGGAGGTCATCGTCAGGTGGAGCTCCGACGCGGTCATGAAGTCGACGTAGGGCTTCACGAGACAAGCCGACTCGCCCTGGCCGATGAACGGCGACGCGGCGGTAACGACGGCCTCGGCACCCGAGATGTTCATGATCTTGAAGAAGAACCAGGCGAAACCTTTGATGAGCCACTGCATGACGCCGAGGTAGTACATCATCTGCACGAAGGCGATGAAGAAGATGATCGACGCGAGCGTATTGACAAAGAACCAGTCCATGTTGACTATGTCCTGGCTGAAGAAGAAGGCGGCGCCTTGGAGGGCCTGGGCGAGAAAATCCTTGGCGAGGTACGCGATCCACTTGAAGATGGAGAAGCCGGCGCCGGACTTCAAGACAAACATGGCGATTGCTTGTTGGAGGAAGAGGCCTACAATGACCGTGGGCCTGTCATAATCTATGATTAGCATCGAGGCGGTGACCAGAAAACCAGATAGAGATCGGAAACAGGGAGCTATGAACCCGATGTGCATGTGCATGTGAGTGTATCAGATGGTCCCGTCAAGGCTGTGGGACGTGTCGCATGGCTTCGCATGCACGAATAAAGACGGGCTAAGCCGAGTAAAGGAGAGCCACGCAGTTCCGTATATCGATCTCGAACTAGTATCATGTAGCGCACAAATCACGAGATGTGGGTAGGCGGACAGAATGGGTGAAGAGCGAATAAAGCAACATGAGAGCTCACCAAGGAATCTCTTTCCTGCTCGCGCTTGTGAGCCAGAAACAGCATTGGAAGACGAACAGGCCGAGGACCGAGATGGCACGATCGCCGAAGCTAGAGTTCTACGGGGGCAATTGGGTTTGCGCAGCGAAGGCGATGCATATGCGAGAGAGGAGACAGTCGGCACGAGATAGTGCAGGTCGAGGAGAGGGTTGCCGGAGAGGAGCATGAAAAAGATATATCAATTCCTTTGGATAGCCAAGGTATTGGAGGGGGGAAAGGCGGGGAGAGGCGTCGTCAGACGACGGTCAGAGGAATGGCAGGAAGTGAAGATGGAATCCGAGGGGAAAGGCGGGGTGAAACAGGGAGAGAGAACGTACAGCTGTGAGCGGGAAGCCAAACGCGCTGCCAAATACTATGCCCAACAATGCAAGCCAGCCCATCGCGAGTCGGGTGCGGTACGGGAGACGGAAGAATGGCTTTTGTATGCAGGGGATCCATACTACCTCGATTGGGCGGGTGACGAAGCGGTTAGGTATGAAGCGGAAGGCGATGGCGATGATGAAGAACCAGGCCCAGAAGGTCTGCACGATCCTTTGGAAGAACCTCTGTCAACGAACTACTGGAGAGGCAGAGAAAGCGCACCATCGATGCCGGGTCGCTTGAAGGACAGTTGAGCTGATCCACCAGCCAAGAATGACGAGGGCGAGGGCAATCAGGATGGGCACGCGGAAGCGGGTGCAGAGACGGGTAAAGGCCGAGGGCTCCTCTTCAGAGTTCTGGGCAGGTGAGGAGACGTCGCTGGCAGCGTCTTTGGATACCTGCATTTCGGGGTCGGCGACCTTTTCCTTGTGAAGCGACGCGCTGCTGGTGCGCGACATCGAGCGGACGACCGGTGCTTGGTGTAGTACATCGAGCTCTGAGGTAGGCGACATGACTGCTATCCCACGAGGGAGCAAAGTAGAGCGGTGAGGAGGGGCGGGCGGGGGCGCACGAGCGACACAAGTCGTCGGGGGGCAGCAGATGGAGCTGGTGGAATCCCTGCACACGAGCACTTTTCTTGTGCGCGGCTAGGGTATATGTATGACCGCCCTGCAGGCGTTATCTTCCGGACCATGTGAACGCACTGAAGCATATGGTACCGTCGGTGCCCTCATGTCTCCTTCCTCCACCGCCATCTCCACAGAGCAACGCGTACGCCCATCATGGGCGTGCCTGTTCTTGTCTTAGCCTTATCGGTCTCCTGCCCAACCTTTCGTGTGTCCATACGTCGACAGAGACCAAGCCCGTCGGGCGGTCTGGACCGGTGCAGCCAATGGGAGGACGAGAAAATCGACGTGGCGGGAAGAAAAAACGCGCGGGCGATCCGCCGACACCGACGCTCGTCAATTTAGGAAGGACGTCAGGCCCATCGGCGCGACGGAATCTTGGCGCCATCATTCCCGCGAACACACGAGCCCGGAGGCTTTGCGCTTCTGTATCAAGTTGCGTATTAATTATAACCCAGTGCGTGTCCGAGGCGGCCTCCGAGGTCGTTCTCTTTCACAAATTAATTTCCTTCTCAGCTTACTTTGCATATGTCAAAGTGCGGTAACGGTCGCTCTGACCCCGCGTTTCCCGTCGAACCCCCGCTGTGCTCATCTTCAGAATGTAACCCACATGTCCTACAGACTAGCAACGACTCAGGTCGCTCTCCAGCTCCGGGATTTGCCCCACATGGTCTCAACGATGTCTTTCTCGTTATCTTCGGGTGCACCGTTTCATACCAACAACTACGCATAAGCAGAGGCCCACACGCTGATAGCCTCGAAATAGCCTACGCGCACCAGATAGATGCTTCCGCGCGGTGCATCGCGCACATCACGTTCCATGCACATGGCAAATCTCTTGCTTATCCCGTAGTGCACACATGCTGTTTGAGGAAGTGATCGTCTAACCAACCATGGTTAAGCTGGCTCGTTCAGCGACGCACACTCGCGGATCAAGAGGAGTGGAAGACATGCGCTAAAAAAGGCGTGTGGAAGATGCAAGGCAACCAGGTACGTCCTCGGAAGTGCGCGCTCCGAATGCTGTCGCCTGCGGTGCCACCCTAGTCATCAGGAAAGTGTCCAAACGTGTTGACGTCGCTGGTGCGTCTTAGGATCGGAACGACATGCCTTGGGTGCCTCGATGATTTTGGACAGCACGTCCCAGACAGGTCTCAACAATGCCTAAGGCAGACTAAGACATGACATCCAATCCAAAGCACCCCCAACACCCGGAGGTTTTCCTGATGGCCAGTTACTGCGCCTCACCTACATGCACAACATCCCCGTGCTCCGGCAACTTCTGCACACGGCCGACTAAGAAGAAGTCCCGGGGTAGGAGCTGTGGCAACATCTGTGCAGTCTGTGCTGCTACGATCTGTTCCGTACCACCGCGCGGGGTTGCGGACATGACCTCCCGCATCCGGCGCTAATTCAGGTTCGTGGCGCCACACGCGTCGTTCCATCGCGCGCAAGCAATCGACCATGTCTGCAATGCCCCGATGCAAAGAGGCCTGTATAGCCACATAGTCTACAATTTCCATTCGGTATTTCGATAGTGTGGGCTGATGACTTCCTCCGGTCAAACGATCAAAGGCTCGCGCACTATCCAGAATACATCCTCCGTTTTCTTCATCGAAGGCTCATTACCAAGGTTAGACGTTCAGACCTGGTGATCTTCCTGCAAGCTAACCTGATATATTTTGTGTAGTTGCAGCGTGAAGGATACAGTACCGACATGCCTCACGTCGCGTTCCCACCTCTTGGAAATCCTCGCTCAAGGCGCCACTGCGGATGTCAGCTAATCCGGTGCCGAAAAATTACTCGCTGCTTTTCCGAACGCTCAAACAGTGTCTCTTGCAACCCCATCTAGATGGCCAAACGTACTGTGCGACGCCGACTTTCTTGTCTCTCGCTGCTTTTACGTAAATAGGCACCGTCCGAACTGCACACCGTACCCATTCACGATCCCCAAGAGATGTACTCAGCGACTCACCAGCAAGTTGCTCAGCATAGACCCCCTGTCCTTGCACAGCTCGCTTCTCGACCTGGCTTGCAAATCTTGCCAAACGTGCCATACCACCATCCCCGTCGCGCCATCATGAGGGCCCGGGACCGAGACCAGTGGAAGCTCTCATGTGATGGCGTTGAGGGCATCGGTCTGCTGGACGCATACGAGAGACGACACCACCATCTCGACGGTCGCGACGACGAGCTATTCCCCGCGCATTTTATCAAGGTCACGATCTCCATTGCGGTGCGTTCAATATTTCCAAATACGGGAATAACTTCCCTTTCGTTCAATAGCTGACGGGTGGCCTGCTACCCCAGCTCCGCGGATACAAAAAATACCGTCGCATCAAGAACGTGCAGCGCACCCGCCACGGCATCGCGCTCCCTGTGCTGCGGCACAGGGTAGTCGAGTGCGTTGCAGAGGCCGTGGCTGTATTCTTGCATCAGGTAACGCCTCACGTCCTGCTCGATATCCACGTTCGCTCATCGGCATTTCGCGGAAGGCTGAGACCACGAGCGACCACGGCGGCACCTTCGTGTTCGGCCCTACTAGCATCCAGCTGAGGGACCTGTACCTGCTCGAGCTGCACCGCCACGGCAAGACGCTTGTCCCCGTTTTGGGCTACGTGCCGCCGAGTCCTAGGCTCGAGGTGGGTGCCAAGATCCCGCGACACGCGACTCGGAACTGTCAGAAGCTCACTCTCGTGTACTGCCCGCAGCTTGGACCGCCTCCAGATACCGGCGGGTTCACTCTAGATTGGGAGATCGCCTTCGGCTTTGCGCAGCTTCAGTAGCTCGCACACTTGCTTTGTTCTCACCTGGTAACTCTAGCCCCTCGACGATGACGTCATGTACTCTGAACTCAAACCTTAACTTATTCACTCATTCCTGAATCGATTTCTTGCACCCGCGGCTCAACTATCTCACCGGCTATCATTAGCGACAAATGCGATATAATCGCTCACGTCCGAAGGCTAATGAAAGTCTGTCATTGGTTATATCCAACGTATCAGCGAATCGTTCGACTGTATGCACAAGCGAACAAAGTCCCGAGCGGAAATTCGTGATCAAGCGTCTCAAAGGTGGGTGGGCTGATCGTCTGTCACCAAGCTCGAGCTTCCGAGATGTGATGGTAATACACGGGATATATGGACATCCCTGTGAGGTTACACGCTGGAAGTTTCCTCCCGTGGTTGCCATGCTGACCGATGACTGTGGAGCCAGAGGTAGCTCGGCTCCAGCAGACTCGCCAAGTAGCGACAGTTCTTGTTCCTCTAGACAGATCAGGACTGGGAAATCTCTCATTTTTCTTATGCAGCCGATAGGATCTGAAAGGGTACGACAAGCCTGACAGGCACGCCTTTGAGGCCAGTGCGTCCGCCAAGGGGCATGAATAGGAGATGGTAGTCTCCGATGACAGCTGAGGCTCACGAAACATGACTCGTAAAAACAGCCAGCACTTCTTCGTGGCCGTCGCTCATTGACCTGCCACATAACCACGAGTTTTACACCGGATGCCAGTCGGGGGCGTGAACTTGCGAGTCCTCGTGCACGCGTGCCTTGGCGACTTCAGAGAACCATTTCTCTTGGGCAGCTAGGAGCGCTGTGCGCGGCGATGCATACTGCGGCGCAGCTGAATCTGTGGATTCTAAACCTGATCTTCGTGCATCGACGAGCACCGTTTCATTACGCATTTGCATTAGCCTTTGTCGCATGCTTCTCTTCTGCACAGAGACTTCGGCCATTTGCCATATGCTCTCCTCGTGCGGCATTTTAGAAGTATGGAAGGAAGGTTTCACGTTATCCTTACCGGTCGTGCAACCATACACGCTTTGAGCACTGGAAAGTCCGCTCACATCGTATGCCTGAGTCTGAGCGTTCGAGCTCTGCAACTGAGCTTCACGCTGGTTGTTAATTTTTTTGATTATTTATACCAGGCGATGTCGTGCAGTGTGGCCCGGACACTTGTAGACAGATCCACGATGCTTGCATGTGCTCGCACTGCTCGACGCTGTGAAGCGCCCGGCTGCGGAATCAATTAAGCGCCTGTCATGCGTTCCACTTTGCCGTGCTTGCATACAACCACAACTCCTGCGGACCTGCAGCTAGAGAAGCGTCATATTCTTATAAATATTCCCAAAAAGCAGGGTAAGGAGCATGAAGGTCGGAGACATAGATGATCGCAGATACTACTTTCGAATGCAGACCGTCGCTCACGCTCAAGATCCGCTACGTGATGTCTCCGATTCTCTCGCAGCGTAGCTGTCTCTGCGGATTTCGCTGCCTGTTCTCTACGGTGACGTGCCCCTTCCGCATTCCTAGTAAGCCCTGCATCAGGAGCGCAGATGCTTCTTACTTCGCAATGAGCTGGCGACACTTACCAACTTGTTCCTCAACGAGCAGCTTCAGATGACAATCGTATCAACACCAAAGATGTGAAGGGCATTCAACGTTGTCCCAAATTCCAAATTGACCTTGGAAGGCGCCAATCTTGAAATGGCCTTAAGATAATCTTAAAGTGGCTTAAAGCCGGATTTTAAGTGCTTTTAAGGCCTTTAAAGGGCGTTGAAAGGATTTCGTTCTGCTTCCAAGGCACTTAAAGGGGAACGAAATGCTTAAAGCTCGAAATGGAATTTGGGACAGTCCTTCACTCGGCTTTCTGGTTTGGGCGCTAGACGCGATGAAGGGCGGCTTTTGCACGTGAACTGCTCATCACGCCATTCGATCTGCCTACCAAGCTGAGAGTTCGAGCTGGTGGGCTGTGTCCTCCGAGTCATTCCGGGAATCAGCCGCCCAACGTGGTCTGTATTGTGCTTACAACGGTTGCCACAACCGGTGGATGAAGCAGTACAAGACCGGGTGTGCAAGCCTGCCCGTGATCCATGCTGCTCACACAACTTACTCTTGCAGTGCAGGCACGCCCTACGCCCCGGCGCGAGTCGTGCCTGCCATGGAGGACCAGAGATATTTAACGAGATCATGAGAGTGTGCAGTTGTCAGCATACGACTCTTCGTGTCTACCACCGACGTGCTCGTAATGGCATCCTCTCGCACAACGACTGTGAGTGTCTTACTTAGCTCGTCACCTGTTTGCTCTCTTGCTACACTGTACTATCAATTCCTAATGTGTTGTAGCAGTCTCTGTGCCCTCGGCCTGGATTGCAGCGATTTGTACAGGTTCCATATCATCACACACGCGAAAGCAGCCTGCGCCCAGAGGAGCGGAAGGTTTGGATCTTCTCGTGTGGTGGTACCGAGGGCGTAAACATTCAAGACTGTATCGACGAAAATTCAAGTATGCTTGATGGTGGCCTCGAAGAGCTATTACCTCCGACCTTCATGAAGGCCGCTGTTCATATTGAGGTGCGTCACGAATACTTGCGCTGGGAGTGCAAAGGGCTGATCCAACCATTTAGGTGGAGGGGCACTTGCGTACACGCGCACAGAAAAATGTACACAACAGACGTGCGGGTAGGCATCTGCCTACACCACGGTGGCGACTGGCAAGATGTGTCGCGGACGTCGTTCAACAGTTCCTAAGCGAGGTCAGTGCTTTCACAGCTTCACCATATCGTGGAGCTCCTGATGTTGGCGTTGACAGATTACACAGACCCGGGAGCATGGACCTGAACAGTGCATCCTCTGTACCGGCGAAATACAGGCAAGACACATTTACTTGCTGGAATTACGCCAGCATGGGAAGACCATCGAGCCAATTATTGGCTACATTCCGCCCGACCGAATGGCGGCTCCGCTCGGAGCAGTCACGAGCCAAGACGACTATGCGGCAGCCACACCACGCATGATGCATGCTCCGCATCCACCCATGCGCCCGTCCTTCTCATCATATATGCTATACACGGGTCAGTTTAATGCGTCTATCAGCGCAGAGTCCTCGAGTCTGGTTCACTTGCCTGCACAGCCCGAACACTTTGGGCCTTACATTAGCGACGAGATCGAAGAACCGCCTCCCTTCCCAACCCCGCACCATATTTTCCCCTACGAGTATCTTTCTCTCTTCCAAGGTTTCTCAGCTTCATGAAATGCCGGAGGCTTACTAGGGTGATTCCTTCCTGACAGACTGGCTCATTTTAATTTCCCATCTTGGGAGAACGTAGTGAAAAAGTAACGTAGAAAATGTCAAGCAGAGCGAACAGTGCCGGAATGGCAGGATACAGTATGATCGCCATATTGATGTAGCATTAGACTTTTCCAATTTACAAGCTTCAGGCCTGCTTAGGTTTGCTGTGCAGTCTTGGATGTCGCTGGCCATGGTGTCCGTCATCAACCATTAGACCAGGCTGTACCGTCATATCGCGAATTTGCCGGGGGTGTCTAACGTTCTTGAAACAGCTGGCAAGCTGCACTTAATTTCTAGTATTGGATTATGTCGCCGACTCTAGGCATCAAAGTGCGCTGCTGCACGGAAGGACAAGTAGTGATCCACGAGGGGATGATCCGGCCACACCCCCTTTGGTAATGCGCGCTTAGAACACGCTGGACGACTGCGATGTATTGCCGCCAGCTTTTTTTGCCCGTGATGGCAGCCAACACAGAGCGTATCACAGTAGCCCTGAGGCTCTCTCGATGCACGCGGTCATGCCGCCCAAGGACCCTAGCCTACTACAGCAGTTATGTGGGCTGATGGCTGGGAGCACAGCATCGACGTTGCACTGCCTACTCATATGTTCTTATTGGCGGTGCTCTCCCGGACATGATCAGCAGAGCGTTCTTGGTAGCTATCCGCGTGATATTCGGCGTGGCGAGTGCTTCTATCTCATATAATTATCGAAGAGCATAATCCTTATGACAGCAGACGACAACGGCCCTCCCAGCATGATGCGCTGAATAGTCTTCCAAGTTTCTGGCAGCTCCCTCGGCGCATCGGAAGATTTCGTCACTGCACCTGAGCCAGTCTCGCTATGTCCGTCCTTCGCAGGCAACCATGAACTTGAAGCTATGTAAGGTGATGACGCTGACAGTTGGCTCGACCTGTTGTAGTGCGTGTACAAGAATACAACTACGTCTGAGACGATCTTTTCGCCTGTGTACAAGATACGATGCTTCCGAGTGTGCTTGACATAATGTATAGCCGATTTAGGGAACTATTCACACGAACCGGTGCTATAGCTCAACCGCTCGGGCATATCGCTTTGCCAGTTCCCGTGATAGATGATATCTTGTGCGGCGTTATAACACATCGGCTTGTCTAAACCATTTACATGTCGTTCAACTAATACATGCAGGGCTAACCGCGCCTGCGCAGCTCGAGAGCTGACGACTGACCGACGTCGGGGTGCTCAGGTGCTCTGCTATATCTAGGAGCGGCACGCCTATGTAATGGCCATGCTCTACGACCGCTCCTCTACTCTCTCGAACGCGACGACAGCAATGACGACTGCAACCCGGACTTTACAGCTCGTCAGTGCGCGCTAGAATGCGCTCGTTTTTTCACACTGCATCCAGCTAATACGACTCTTCCAGCCGACTGCGCAACTTCGCACAGGGCTTCGGCCCTTCGCGCACTTCCCATATCATCACCCACGTGGCGGAAGACTGCGCGCGGACGAGAGGAACACATGGCAATTCTCGTGTGGCGGTGTCCAGGGGGTGAACATCCAAGACTGCCTCGACGGCAAACTGGAGAGCCTTGACGACGGTCTCGAGGAGCTTCTGCCGGCCGCCTGCATGAAAGTCACTATTCATATCGGGGTGCGTGTCGGCAAGAGGGTTGATAACGTACCGAAATGCTGACTTCTACCCAAGATTGTCGGCTATAACCGAACTCGTGCGCAGAAAAATGTTCACAGTCGGCGCGCGGGGCGTGACTTGCCCACGCCGCGTTGGCGCATGACACGATGTGTTGCAGAGGTTGTAACGCAGTTTCTAAGAGAGGTGGGTGCAACACCGTTTTCCAGCCCTATCCTGCGATATTGTTGGAGCTGATTTTGCCGCGGCAGGTTCAAGAGACCGGAGATCGTGCCCCTGGTTCTCCTGACCTTTGCTCTGGCGAGCTTCAAGCCGAGCATATCTACTTACTGGAACTGCGACAGCATGGGAAGACGCTGGAGCCCGTTCTGGGTTATATACCTCCCCTGACTGCGGGTGGAGCCGACGGGCGTAACATGGTACAAGCTCAGCAGCTGCCTATTATCGCGCCGTTTCCATCCACAGGTGATCCCACAGCGGTCGCCGCCAATAGTGGCATTGGCTCCGGCACAGCCAGTGCCGTGCCTCTGCCGGCCGCCAGTGGCTCAACCAACTATCCTAATCATCTCCTCCCGGACCCAGTTATTTACTCTTTGTCATTCGACCCCGATTACGGCGCGTACTCTCCGTTTGGTGAACACTTTTTGTCTCCCAGCGGTCGCCGTGGCCCAGGCGCTCTCGGTTGATTCTCCATATTTTTTGAATGGATTTGGGCGAGCAATGCAGTAGAGTCAGAAGTTTTTGTATTTAAAAAAATCATATAACAGACAGAAGGGGACCTATAGCCTGTCGGTGCATACCTATGTCCGCCCGCGTAAAATAGCCAGTCCCCAGGGTCCCGCTCTCGATCATCAGAGCCTTAGACTCCGAGGGACTCCGACTAGCTAGATTTGGCGCTAAATAGCTCTCTTGAAGAACCAGGACGTCACCTCGCCTGCCACCTCGCGAAGGCCACGCATAGCCTACTGTCGACACATGCTAAATTGTTTTTGCGCGGTCATCAATACTTTGGGTCTGCTTCTTCAGGCAAGGTTCATGCAGGGTATGGAGATATTGAACACGAGTGTTCAATATTCGCTGCTGGGGATTGACTCTGGCCCGCGAAGATACCTGAGAGGGCCTGATTCCCACCTTTGAAGAATCAAATAGAACGTCGGAGAGGTCTGCATCCATGAATACCCCGTGTCTTGCCTGACCTTTTCCTCGCCTCCTCCTAAACCTCTGTTTCTGCGTAGTAGGCTCACGCCGGGGGAATAGCTTGCCCTGTACTGCAAGCTCATAACCTTGCTACTGTATGTCATCCACAGTGTTGCGTGGTATACATCTATCTCACATCTCCCCAGATCCTGCTCTAGTATCTCGTTTCCGAGAGGCGCAACGTCGAAGCACGACATCCTTATGGCCTGCCGACCCGTTCGCCAACTATGACTACAAGCCGGGTCTATAGCCGGGTGCGGAGAAAGAGCTCCAAGACGTGCGAAGTCCCGAAAGTGAGATACAGCTCCAGGAGTTCGCATTCATCCTAAGCGCTACTCAGCTGGTATTACACTTGTCTAGGGGTGTTTGGGTCTATTGAACCAGGTCAACATCTGTCCCAGTAGGACCCTGCCAAGGAAGCAAAGCTGCATATGCTCAGGAAGATTGTTGCCGACCTCCTCGTGTATGCTTTGATCTAATAACTCTATCTCTGGTCCCGGCCCTGACCGACGCCTGCATGCGAATGTACTACTAGGCACCTCTAACGGCATGTTCGTCTCATGAACATGAAGTTGTGCTGGAACGGCAAGCGGGATGTCTAGTGTCCTATCTCTTGCTTATCATACGATTGAGATCATAGTGGCGCGGTACTTGCGTAGCGAGAAGACAGGTTGGACCATAAGTAATATTTCATGCTCTCTAGCTGACGTAACTTCTGCACATGCGGCTATCTAGTGCAGCAACTATGTCGGCCCGAGCTCGAATCCTGCAGGATGTTTGGACCAAGTATCGATGTGATATCTGTAGTGTTGGATAGCCCCATCTGCGCTGAAGGAAGCTTCCAATCTCCTCGCATCTTGAATGTGCGGAGTGGCGAACAGCGGCTGCTTCCACCACGGCTTGCGCAGGTGAATCCCGAAGAAATGGATGGAAAGCCGGAGATTAGAGGTACAGAGCATTTTCCGTCGTAGCATCCGCGCCAAACGCATATCGATCTGATGGTCTATCAGGTTCTAGAAGACATGCTGCAGTCGCGAGAATCGTTGGTGTACGAACTGTCGTGTTGTCCTGTAATATAGCACAGTGCTGGTATGTACGCTTCTCTTCTTACCAGCGCGCTCTCATGAAGGACACAAAGTGTTCTTTCTGGAATTTGACTTGTTCCGAACTCAGCATGTCCAGACTCATTTCCGCCGGCCAACAGTGCGAGTGCTGGCCACCCTCCAAGATACCTTTCTGAAACGACGGCTTCTGAAGGCGGTCGTCGAAGGCTCTCGAGTTCGAAGTGCTCCTTGTGTAATCTCACTCTCATTCTTTCATGCGTTATACGCAGATATTTAGTGATGAATTGGGGCGTCTTCGCACGCGCATTCTGCGTTCAACAGCTCTGAATCACGGCAGAGAGTGAGCGGCTCCTTGTGCCCGAAGCTGTATCTGTCGTTCCAGCCTCTTCGGCAATGAAGGTTCGGCGGGAAAGTGGACAGCAGCTGGCCTCGCTCTGGCGACTTTGCAGGTGATGCATGTCTGCGGCCTGACAGCGTCCCGAATGTTGACATCTACCGAAGCAGCCTTGATCCTGGCTCCAAGTTAGGTCACACCAGACGCACTTCTGCATATCCAACCAGACTACATACTCGCGCTTCAAGCATTTTGCCGTTCTATATATTCTCGTCTGTCTTTGAATTTCCGCCCCAGAACACCCTGAATCCTGTGAACATCGCACTCTATCGTGACCATCTCTCTACGACAGACAGCTCCATCACTCAACCAAGATGACCCTTCGTGCTGGTCTCCAAGTCCTCCGAAACAAGCAGTACCACCACCCCCGCCGCGCGGTTATGCGACCCAGCGAACGGAACCATTGGACCTTCTCCTGTAACGGTGTCAAAGGAGTAAGTCTATCGGATGCTTACGAGGGCCGGCCCCAGGGTCTGGATGAGGGCGACGAAGAGCTCTTCCCCGCTGACTTCGTCAAAGTTTCGTTCCTCATCTCGGTGCGTCGCTCCTTCGCGAAGGCTCCGCGTGCGCTCCTCATTGCTTATATTGCGTTACAGGTGCACGGATATGTGAAATACCGCCGCATTAAGAATGTTCAGCGTACCCGTGGCGGGGTGCCGCTGCCTACCTCGCGGCGCAGGGTAGTCGAGTGTGTTGCCGAGGCCATCGTCGTGTTTTTGAAACAGGTACGCACGAGGGCTGCCTCCGCGTCTCCGTGTGCTTGTGCGTACTTAGGCGTCTTTTCTCAGGCGAAGACAACAAGCGACCACGATGGCAGCTTCGTGTTCGGTCCCGCCGACATCCAGCTGAAGGACCTCTACTTGCTCGAGCTCTATCGGTTCGGCAAGACGCTGGTCCCGGTCCTTGGATATATGCCCCTCGATGTGGGCCCCCCATTCCAAGTTCGTTGTCGCCGCTGTTAGACTATCAGGAGCTAACGGTTTGGCAGTTGGACTGGCTCAGCGATGCATTGTTTTCGGAATGGAACATTGCCGACGACTTCCTCCAGCCCCCGGTCTGAAATCCCCTTATATCGCGCCAGGTCGACATAATCTCTACTGGTACGGTTCTGCTATCTCCTCTCCTTCCACAGCGTTCAACCTATCCGTAACGTTCCTGTGCTGCTATCGCAGTTAGCATAGATTATTGACTTATTTTATGTTATTTTTACGGTTGTGACGCAGCGTGCCTCAATGTCTGGTTCTAGGTGAGGTCTGTAACTTCAACATGCGTATCTCTCAGCGATCTCTAATAGCCCAGCTCCGTGAAGAGCCCATTTCCTCGTATTCGGTAAATGAAAGCTTAAACGCTCTGAGTAACCCGATGTAGAGCTCTGTTGCGAAGATAATACACGTTGCATGTTAATTACGCCGAAATGCACATCACAGCAAGATTCCAGAGTAGAGTCCCACCCCGACATGCGGGACATCGAAAGGAGTTTACTGTACCGTCCAGCAAGCCTACACCTTGAGTGCGCGTATGCTCTTGCCCATCGCGATCGCGACCCACTCGCCGGGTGCGACATGTCCCGCGACGCCCGCAATCCTGGGGCTCCACGCGACGTTCGTGACCTCAGACGGACCCGTGTACGCTATAACGGGGTCCTGGACAATCCGCTTCTTCGTCTCGGGGCGCGGGCTCGCACTGAGGCCCGCTGTGCTTCCAGGGCCGTGCGTGTGCCCGCTCCGCGGCGCGGGGCTCGCAGACGTCTGCCCCGCGAGGTCCCAAAGGAGCAGTTGACAGTCGTCACCGGCCGTTGCGAGCAGTGGCGGCTCTGTACCGCTGCCAGACGACCACGCGAGGGCGTTGATCGGTGCCTGGTGCGCGTGCAGCTCCATGACAGGCTGCCCGGGACTGCGCATGTCGAGGATCTGTATGTCGCGCCCGTCCTGGTGGAAGGTTGCCATGTAGTTCGAGTCGGATGGATTGAAGGCGATGCGCAGGAGTGCGGAGGTGTGAGGGCGGGCGGAAGTGCCAGGCGAGCCTGGTGCTGAGTTGCCGTTAGACGAAGCGGCAGAGGGAGCAGTTTTCGGCGGTGGCGTCTCGTAGAGAATGGTACTGTGCTCGAGCGAGCGCAAGTCGAAGGCTCGTAGCGAGCCGTCTGCGCCAACTGACACGAAGATGTCTGTTGATTGTGGCAACCAAGCGACGTCGTACACTTCGCGGTCGTGAGCGATAAGCTGGGTTATGGCGGTGGATGTATCGATGTTCCAGACTGTACATGTTGTGTCTATTGAGGCAGTAACAATGAGATTTGGCGACTTCTCGTTCCATGAAAAGTTGGTTAACGGTGCGCCAGTCGAGTGGTTCTGTACTTTCGATTGCTGCAGCAGAGAGACTAGTCAGTCCGCGAGGCCTTGCGACAGAAGGGTGGGGAAGGGACATGGTTCGCGTGCTCGGGAAGAAGAATGAATATTGAAGACATACCCCAGACAAAGCAGCCCGTAATGTCAATCTATGCCCACTAGACTGCGGAGAACTTTGGGCCTTCCCGACATAGCCCCCGCTCCCACCGCCTCCAGACGACTGATCGCTCGCGTATTCCCATACTCTCAGCGCGTCCCCAGTCGTCGCCAGCAGCTCCGATTGGGTCGGTTTTTGACCCCAGCCGAAAGAGTTCGCCGATGCTGGCTGCCAATGTAGGCTCGTCGCAGGATACCCGTGATGCGCTTCAACGAGGGTAACGAAGTCTGGGTAGTACGAATCGCCAAAATCTGGGGCATAATCATCTTCGACAAGCACACGCTCATCTTGGAGACCGACGATGGCTATGCGATTTCGATAGTCGTCTGTAAGCGAGCCGAGGCCGAGGCGGAAGGATGAGCGTGGTCGATGTTGGTGTCCTGGGGCTGCCGATTTGCACCAGTCGAGGGCGTATACGGGCCCTAGCAGACTTGTTCAGACCACTCGCGTGCAAGTTGGTAGTAGAATAAGCGTACATGGTGCTTCATATTGGAGAACAGTAGAACTTGTCATATCCAGCCTTGACACCAGTCCTTGTTCCTGATCGCTTCAACAGCCTTGTGCGCTTCTACGGGCTCTCGGGAAAGTGCCAGACGGAGTTGATAAGCGGTTCCTACACTGGATAGTGAGGACAAAGGGTCGAAATTGGCAGATCTTATGTGAGGATGTGGAGGTTGTGTGCAGCGGATCTCCCGCCTGCGTCATGCATTGCAATCGTACTGCAGGCGTCTAACATGTTGCTCTCGTCGCTCGTCGTTGTTGAGAGCTGCGAACTCCATGGCCTAGGACATGCTAAGCGCACCCCCTTCTATCTTTTGAAATATCTGTCTTACGAACTGGTTTTTTTTTTTCAGCTCACTTTAGGCAGCTTGTCGTCGTGAGCCGAGAGCTCGCGTATCGTCCCATTTACCGAGGATACCCCGCCACCTCTGAATTGTTCGCGCGCCCCTCCTCACCAAGCTAATTTTCCGCAGGAGATTGTCAACTATGTCATTGATTTTACCAATTCAAACAAAAGCAAGTGGAGGGTCGCTGTCTCCCTGCAGCTAGCTCCCCTTCTCGACGCATCAACGCCCTGGTTGCGAACATGGTATCTGGTCTGCAAGATCCCGAGCAGCCTCCTCCTTTCACCAGGACAGAGCATCTCTGCATCAAGGCGCTCACGCTGAGTCCCTACAATCTCCATCATCTCGCGTTGCTAGAGTTGCTAGTCATAGAACATCCGCTCATCTTGCTCTCAGTGGTAGACGGGAAGGCTAGCAGCAGCACACGTTACTTCCCTTTTCTTCGGGCTGCGGTCTTCAATGTTGAACGACTAGAGATCCACATATCTCCAGGCGCGGCGGTGCCTAGTGGACCGATGGCAGTGAGCATACACCCACTCCTACAATGCGCTTAACGGCCAACGAACTCTTTTCAGTCGACCTGAAGTATGGCCTTCTGCTGAGTGCGTCCACAGCTGCATAGATTCATTCTATGCTAGTGCTGGCTGATACGTGCGCAACATATCAGACGGCCTTATTACAGATTCACAGCGCTGCAGGGCCGCCTGAACGCAGCCATTTGCGCCTTTCTCATTCCTCTACCATCCTCCATCGCTGCATACACTTCAAATACAAAGTATCTGAGCTATCTCAAAGCCTCGCCCCGACTCTCCGAGCATTCAAAGATAGTAGACCGAACCCCACTTGGCATCTCACCGACATGATACTCTCTTCCCGCTCAAGGTTGGATGTTCGCGGGTGTTGTTGACTCTTGGCGGACCAAGGCCGGCTTGAGGCGGGCACTTGTCACATAATCTTGATCTATTTCCCTTTATTTTGCTGAATGAGGTTGTCCCTGTGCGATCGTGTGTCACATCCGAGTCTTCTGCCGAGGCAGTGGACCCGAAACGCCACAAAGTCTTCGTGAGCGCCTCCACAATCGACCGATCCCAGCTTCCGCTGTGGCCCAAGTGGGGCTCGCCAGCGAACGCTGGACTCTCCCCCGGTGCACTTCTCTCAGGCGTACAATGGAACCACAGCGTGTGTCATGGAGTTGGGACTTTAATATTCTAAATCTCTTACTCTTGTCTGAGCCTACTCACAGCCAGAACACCGTTCGTATCATCTCACGAATCATATTCTTATAGGCAACGTTCAAAGTACAACCAGTCCAGATGTTTCACCCTCCTCTTTCTCAACAATACACTACCTCAGAGGGTGACAGGAGCACAGCCGATGCCAATACCATTCTGTAGCCGACTAACAGCATACAGCTCAGCACTCTGCAAGCAAGGGTACATACGATAACTCCGTTAGAGCAGGAGACGGTGGCGCCGCTGCAGGCAGAGCCGGAGCCGACACCGACGACACTAATGGGGCTGCAGGTAAGCCCGATGAGACCGGTGATGTCGCTGGCGTCTATGCCGATCGAGCTGAGAATCGCGGTGCCGGCCGCAGAGGAGGCCTAGTAATGCAAATGCGCGTCAGAATTACTAATAGCAGCAGAGAAAGTGTAGGATGTACGGATTCGGTGCTGCCGCAGCACGCGGTCGTGGCGGACCCGCTGTCGCCGTTGTTGCCGGCGACGTTCGCGGGTGTGGCGGCCGCAAGAAGGGCGAGGGAGAACGTGGAGAAGAGCGCGAGGCGAGAGAACATCTTGGCTTGTGTTTCAAGTGACACGAAGAGTGTGGTTTGCTGCAGAATGGAGGGAGCGGTGAAGCCCGAATGTATATGTTGGAAGGCGAATGGTAACATCGAGGATGGATACGAATGCCTCCCAGCGTGAAGAAAGTTATCGACCAGCATGTTGTGGAGTACATGTCGCAGTGCTCCATGTTATGAGGCTTCTCGGTAAGACGTCGGTCACGGCCCTGTCGTCGATGCATGTCGCGCTCCGCCGCTGGAAGCCTTGGAAAACCTCAATGGAAAGGATATATCCCGCGCGATGAGTGGAGCTCCTGATATCGTGCGTTAGGCGCGGTGCGGTCAGGTACGGCCGTACCATGCGGTTCCGTCTATCAGGGAGGTCATCGCTGTCTTCGCGAGACTCTGGTAGCTCTGTAAGCATCCCTATCGTAAGGGCGCCATAGATGAATATAAGAATTTATGAAGAAACTCTGAATGATGATACAGCCCTAGAGACTGGTTGGTATAATTCTCCTTTGCCCGCAGTGCCACCGATCGAATGACGTGTATGGGAAATTATATACCATATGCCCGGCTTGTGACTCACATGCCGTCACAACGAGCTGCCGTTAGTCGTCATGAGGATATGAGCTTTCGAACGATGAAGTGCAATCATAGGCTCGGCGACAGACGCGTTACAAGCATGTGCACTGTGCAGCAACCTCTGAGGTAAAATCATGAAAAATACCCAACACACTGGTACGACTGGAGAAGTCCAGACAATGTCTTGTGCTCCTTGCCTCACGGAGGTTGTGTTAATTTCTGCGGCAGGACCTACAGTATCTGAATGCCGCATAGTAGCTACTCGACGTACCTATCGTTTTTATCAGCTGCCACTTCTCATGGTGAGCAATAAAAAAATCTTAACCTACAACTATGAGCTCTTCGGTGTTTTCTCTCCTGTTGTCACACCGAGGGCTCGTAGAAAATGCCAAGCGTTCGAGGGGCGGGAGCGCCACAAAGCTCGTTCCTGTTCCAGATTTGATGGCGGTGAAAGCGAGTAGTAGCTGGCGTCTATGTGCTGAGCCCGTCACCATCACCACCACATCGACAGCGAACGTAAATTCAGATGCCTTCTGTCACCCTGCCCCAGGAACTTATCGACCACATTCTCGACCTCCTCGCCCAGACCTACTCCGATACTTTGCACTACTCCTTGGAAAGTCGGACGCGTACCCTTTCCGCCTGCACCCAGGTCTCGCGGGCATGGTTGCCAAGGAGCTCCAGGCACTTGTTCTATCGCATCTGGCTTCGCAACTCCAGCTATTCCAGCTTCATTGGCGACGTGCAAGAGTCGCCGCGTCTCTCGCAACACGTAGCACGAGTCGTTGTGCGCGTAGGACCAACTGGCATGACGAAACGCCTCCAAGAGACTCTCTCGGCCCTGCCGAACCTACGTGAACTCGAATACTGGGATCTTCAGTGGCGTGCACCTAACCAATCTGACATACCTTTGCTCCTTGGCTTTCCTCAGCGGATCCGCGATCGGCTTGCTCGTCTCACCGTCTCATTTGCTGCCGCATTGGATGACACCGCTCGCTATCTGTGGGAGCTCAATCCCGAAGTGCCCTTGCTCGACCAATACCGAGAGCGGGAGTCCTCTTGTGTCGTAGAGTGCCCGACGCTGGAGTCCGGTCCTGTCGGCATCATTCTCCAATCCATGTTCGCTTCGGATGCTCAGGCTGCGAATGCGGTCTTGTACCATGTAGGCTGTGACGTGCAGCACATAGAATTACGGTCACTGACTACGATGACAAGTGAGTGTCTACGTCTCCGGTCAATGCAGGATCTCACGACTAGAGCTATACAGCTGATGTAAACGAGATGATCGCCCTACACCATTGCAAGAAGTTAAAGTCCATCTCAATGCAAGTAGATGACCCTCAAGTGAGTTCAAAATGCCTTTGTACAAAGCCTAGCGTGTTAAATGCATCCTACATCCAGATTTTCGTATGGCTCTCCGACTCCGTTGTGCGAAACCTACCCACCCATCTACGCCGAGTGAACGTTGTGTTTAACCAGCCTCGCGCTCTCGGTGTGGTCGAAGAAAACGCCGCCTGGGAGGCTTTCATAAAGGGTCTTCAGCGATGCGATGCTCTTGAGGCCGTTGAGTTCTTCGAGGTCTGCCGCGACGTAGGAGAAAAGGAGAAGGACGAGATGCTCCGGAGGAGAGAGACAGCCCTGCTCCGCAATTTTCCCTCCCAGCTTGCAACAATTGTAACGTGCTGGCCATAGCATCTGCACGGAGTGCCGGGTTGTGTACAATAGAAGATTTCGGATACAGTACGGTCTTTATCGCAAAAAACAAGCTAGAATATTTTTCCTCCTTGCTGCTACGCACGTTCGTTCGCCATTCGACTACTTAGAGGCAGTTCAACGCCCGTTTTTACCATAGTTGATCAACAAGTTGCGCGTGGGGGATGCATAGAGGGTCTCTGTGATAATCATTGTAGCTGATATCTTCTAATCATATCAAACTTTTGCGTTGTGGCAAGTACTACGATCATAAGGTCAAGGATAATAAATCTCGCTATCTCTTTGGCCTCGAGAAGCATCGCTTCAAAATAACCGTCGCGATGTGCAGACACCATTTATGGCTCAGTGCAGCCACGTCATAGACGGCCGACAGCGGCTTCAGCACGTTCATGTCCGATAACGTGACGGCCTAGGGCGCCGACGGTGGCGCAGACGACGCTATCGGAGTCCTGCAGCAACAAACTCAATCTGAGAAGGCGCAGCCAAGCGTGAGATGACGGAAGGCTTAAAGTTGGAGGCGGCAGCGCCGCTGCAGGCGGAGCTATAGACCTATTCCGAGGTCGCCGCGGTCCAGGCTGATATCGGCTTCCACGTCACTCAGGTCAATGCCAAAAGCCTCGAGGATAACAGCGCCGGCAACCGGGTCCGCCTGCGGAAAGCTATCAAGGTAGTGATAAGGATACTGAGGAAGCGCACCGGTTCAATGTTGAAGGGGCAGTCGACGGTTGTAAGGCCGCATGGGCTACGACAAGTGGCGATGTCACCTGCAAAAAGGACGAGGGCGACGCTAACACCGCTATGAACAGGAGCAGTACACCCACGCTGTGCTGTGGTATCGAGCTCGGCAGATCCCGCGCCACGCGTTGCAACAGGAGGTGTAAGCAAGCTGGCTTTGAGCTTCATGGTTCTTGTGCGTGACGTGTCGATGCGGAGCGATTTGTGCTCGCGGCGCGGTTGAGTACAACGTGGGCCGCCGAGAGGTTCGCTGCAACACAAACAATGATGCCAGCTTTTTGGGGGGCGGATGCATGAGAACTCACACTGACTGTGAACCCTATCGTGTCTCGTGGAAGACGAGCTCGCTCGAAGATTCCCACCATCGACTCCGTGCTCCAAGATTTGAGGCAAGGACGGCCACAGAACTTTGGTCTGGAGTTTACTCTGTCCAGCAGCGCACGTCCAAGAGTGGGAATAATACGCACCATTCAGCTGTACGCTCTCACCACCTCGGGCGCGCCCATTGCGTACCAGGCCCACCCGGGCTTGTGCGCGCAACTTACGCCGCCTTGCTGTCAAGTTGCGGCGTCCAATACTCGACGGCCATGTAACGAGTCGAAATAGCAAGAGCAAAAACGGGAGTTTGAACGATCCTCGCTCTAGAGGCTTGCTGGATCGCTGCTGCCTGCCGTCTTTATGGCCTCCTGTGCTGGTCAAGTTGGTGCAAACCTCAGCTGGGCCGAGGCCAAGGATTGAGGCACGTGATTCCGTCGTAGAGAAAGGTAGTTTGTTCCCACGATTATCCCTCCCATAAATTGAAGTTTTGTCGTCCCATTATTCCGACCGGTCTGAGACCTCTTTCCCCACACATGAGGAGGAGAAGCATTCTTGTGAATAGCAGCGGCCGGAGAGAAAGTAAGAGCCCCGAAAATAGACACCTCCAGGCTGTCTTCTCAATCTTCGCGCACATGGCATAGGCTTCGTCCGGCGGTCTTCAAGCTCCAACTTTGACCGTTTACCGTCGCGTGGATGTAAATTCTCTCGGGATGATGCGTGCGGCTCAAGTGTGCCCACGCCCATACCTCTGTCTGGAGTCGTAGCGCTGGAGACAGATGTAAGCTGCGATATTTTAGGTTGCTTCCTTGGTCCAGGTATGTCGCACAGATGCTGCTTCGTGTCCCTGACAGCTCAACTTGCGATTCAAGATCTTGAACCCGCGAAGGCGCATGTCTTCCATTTGGAATGGTATGCCTTCTTCCATGACGTTCTGCCGTAGTCTGATGATGACTTCAATGCACTGCACGCACATGACACTCTTTTTCAGACTTCTGAGGATGCCGCATCGTTTAGGACCAACGAAGTCTCGACGAGGCAGCATCTCTGTGCACTTGAACGGGTCAGCTGGGCCACTCTAATCGGTGTATCGCAGTCTAAACCTCCGTAGGTTTCCCTCGAACTTCAAAGAAGCCCCGGCCGGGCGGGGTGCAATCGTAGTGCGGCTCACGAGTGACAATTGCGACTACTCCACGCTGCTAATTGCTCTGACAAGATCCTGGCTACGTTTCGCAATGGCTGTCCATTCTAGGGGTGCCCGCTGGCCTTTCCGACGACAGCTTCTTCGAGCTGTGGTGTTTCAGTTTCGTCACTGAGTGGTCTGTCTGGTATACATCTCTACTCACCTCATTCTTGACAGTTCGTTACTAAGTATCTCGGAACATCTGGCTCCCTAGAACACCCATCGCTCTGTTTACTGCAATGCAGATATTTCATCTGCTTTCCACCCGGGTCCCTCGATCTCCGATTCATCCACGCTAGGTACCGCACCGCATTGCATAGCGCCACATCGCACGGCAGCTTAAAACCTAGAGATTGCGTCCCTGGGAGCAGGTAGACTTCCAATCAAGCCTCCCTCGATTCAGATTTCCGATTCGGCTTAGCCCCCGCGGCGTCTTGCTAGGCGGCAGCTGATCGTTCTCCCGCACCTTAACCTATAAAACACGCTGTCGTCCTCCTTCTCAATACTCCTGTTGCCCACGACTTTGCACAGACAACTTCGCCCACCATGACGTGCCATATTTCCTCACTGCCCCAAGAGCTCGTCGACCACATCATCGACATCGGGGCAGAGAACAAGCGCTCGGCAGGGAGTTTGGCTCTCACGTGCAATTCGTGGACACACCGGAGCTCCAAACACCTCTTCAACTCCGTCAGCATCTTCACGACGCAGCTGCATGAGTTCCTGGCGCATGCGTCGAGCTCGCACAGGCTCGCGGCGCACGTCTTCGAGTTCTCGGTGTCCCAGCCGCTGCACGGTCACGACGGCTTCGACCTGACGCCCTTTGTGCACGACATTCTCCAGACGCTTCCCAACCTTCGGAAGCTGTCGATCTTCGGAGATAGAATCAGTGTCCGCGCTGGGCTGACGCCGACCCCGGACTCGCACGGGCGTGACCTTGCGCTCCTCCGGCTTTCGCGCATTCACATCGAGGCGCTGCCGGAGCTTCTGCGGCTCTTCGGTCGCGTCGGCACGCTAGAGCTCGACCAAGCATACGTGCAGGAATCGCAGTGCCCGCCTGTGGGCAGCGGGCACCTGGCCGTGGACACCTTGCGCTTCGATGGAGGCGTGTCAGAATTTGAGGCTCTCCGGCTTTCTCTTGACAAGTCGTCGCTGAGGAGTCTGCGTCTCAAGTTGGACGGCCACTTCCGTGTGGATACGGCTCCTATCAACCTCTTCTTGCTGACGGTGGGTCGAAACCTGGAGCAGTTCAGGTTTGAGCTGCCTTTGGATGGTTGGGTGGTTGCTGGCCCGGGTACGTTCTGACTCATCGGCGCGTCCTGTCCAAACTAACCATTAAACATAGAACAAAATGACCTGGAGGCGCTAAAGCAGCTGCTACGTCTGCGTTCGGTCGAGCTCGTTTCACCTCGACGCGCCATCCGTCGTAGGGGCACGACAATATCCAAAACATTGTGGCTCAATATGTTGCCCGCTCTTCGCTACATCCCACCCACCGTCCGCCATGTTCGGCTATACGCCAACCTCTACCACGTACATCCCGCCATGCTCGCCGGTTGGGACTACTCCTCACTGCAGGACAATCTCACTGGCTGCACGAGCCTGCAGGCGGTGGACATCACGTTATTAACGGAGCAGGACCGCCTGACCGTGCCTGTAGGCGAGGAGAAATGCGCAGACGTGCAGAAGGCGGTACATGCGCGGATGACGAGCGGCTCCGGAAAATTGCTGCGGTTCAATTGATGCGCTTTGATCCTTCGCAATATTTGTTTCGTGGGTGATGCTGTTTGTTTCTTCTCCTTACTCGTTAGGGTACGGGGCGTGTCGGGCAGCGTCGGTGTACTGTATGTCAGGGGGCCTGTATTACCATAAGGTATATTTAGTCTTGTACCCACTAGCGAACTATTTAATGTCTATGGCATGCTTTCCTCGCGCTTCGGGGTATGCATACGATACATCTGTCGGGGTGAAACGCAGCTACCAAGTACGACAGCGAACTTCTGGGACTTGGGCACGCCATATCTCGGAAGGATGGACATGAGACGGCATGGCTACTCTGGTGAACTGAGTTTTCTACCGCTATGCCTCTAGCTTGAGGTGGATTTGTGAAGGTGTTGCAGGTCACGGCGGAACCGGGCAATCCCGACCGTCACTTCACAGAGCAGCATCATCGACCTCAATCCTTGCGGCCGCCACATCTCGGCAGCTGCGCCCGAGCGCGAATGCGCTGGGCCACGTAGCATGCGCGGGACTGTGACCCGAAGGTCTCGAGGTCGTAGATAGCCCCGAACGAAAGTGAGGTGCTGGGACGTTGTGGAGCGCAGCTACCAGAGTCCGGCGGCACAAGCAGGGCATTCGTTGTGCATAGAACAAGACAGAATAGAGCTGGAGATGATCAAGTGAGTAGTGAAAGACTAGCGAAAATGTACGTGCATCTCCCTTCCCCTTTATACTCCACGACCGTCTTTTGTTACCTTTCAAATAATCTGCCAATATGTTCGCCCTCTGCCCATGAGACGCGGACGCAATGCGGATGCAGGGATTCACAAGCCGGCGGCCAAGCATATTCTGGTCTCGACTTTCCGAAGTGAAATAAGATGCGACGGAACGCTCGGCGTGTCCTTCCAGAATGAAATCGCGGTACCTGGTGGCGGACCGAAGCTGTCAGATATGTCACGAACAGACAACAGGCCGGCAAGCCCGGGAAAGACAGGCACGGGAGGCCAAGGCGAGGCACGTCTGGAAGAGCCTTTATCTCGCTTCTGCTGCGCCTATCTAATGTTTTGGTGCGAATGACCAGTTTGTAAGCGACGACGATCGTTCGCTCGTGTGCACTCACCGTCAATAGCTCGATAACGTGTGCGGAACGCCTGTCTAAAGCGGGGACAGGTCGTCAGGCCCTAAGACCTACGTGGGCATCTATACCAGAGCCGGCCTCTCGATCGACAAGACAAGGTGTTTGACCCATCTCAAGATCGCTCGGTTCAAGCTAACGTCGTAAATGAGCAGTCTCAATTATTTTCACGATCAATTTTGGCCACTTCAGGAGGAAGGGGAGGAGATCAAGGCACGCACCGCATTTCGATAAATGTCCTACCAGCTGGTAGGCGCTGTCTGAGATAACGGCATCCATTGCGCAGCCGCGTCAGGAAGAGATAATACGCCGTTTCTCTAGACAGGACGCATAATCACCATGTGATTGTCCCTCGGACCTTGAACGATGGTTCTGGCAGCGATGAACGTACGTCCGTCAACTCTGAGCTGTATATGTAAGTACGTGCAGCCCGCTTGGGTGGGCGGCGCGCGAGTTACAAGGCATGGTACACGGCGCGCTCCAAGGCAAGCATGATTCGCCACGTAACTTGTGTGCACGGGCTGTCGCAAAATGCGACCTGTGAGAGGTGACAGCCGGCCGGAGGTCCTTGTAAGGATATGCCACAATATATTCTATAATTCAAAGTGATAGGGTGAATCGACCGCCCTTAGCATCCGTAGACATGGAACTCACATCCACGACGACTTATTGGTAATTGAACATCGAGCAATATCTATCATTTGCAAAGTTCAATGTTCCGATAGACTGCCGGGTTCGCAGGTATTCAGTTCGAGGGGGACACAGTTCCTGTGACTGGTAGCATGGTGCATTGGCGAAGTTGCTGAACGCAATCCCGTATGACAGATGTGCAATCGCGCTCGTAATTTGCGGTCGTACCACCGGACCACCTGTACGTTACACGACCTATCTCCCAGCATTCAGGCGCTAGCAGGTGACAATTCAGTCGGACAGCAAAGATCGCAAGCAAGCGACCACAAGAGGAGCGACCCAGGGCTGGAGCTTGAAAATCGTTCTACAGAAGTTGGAATACTCATCAGAAACTCGTATCTACGGCAGCACCTTCGTGATGGCGCTATACCGCGGCGGTAGACTGGTTTCGACCTCCTCCCGCATCTCGAGAAGCAGCGCCTGAACCTCCTCTTCCGACTCCGCCTCCTCGCAGACGCCACGGAGCTCGAGACTGTTGAGCTCGGAGTATTTGTCCTGGCTCAGCCTCAGGTGAGTAGCAATGAGGCCGAGTATATCTTCCCACCGGTCGTCAGTGAGGATGATGCGCAGGCGTGATATGCCCTTGGGCATGTGACGTAAGACTTCCCGGCAAAGATCCTGGGCCCACTGCGACAGAGACAAAGTTAGTAATGTTATGGAACAGGAAAAGGGGGAAACGACGCACGAAGACATCGACTAGGTCAAGCGTGATGGATGTCAACTTTGGACAGACTGCCAGGACCGCCAGGTCAACCAAGCCTCGGCTATCTGCGAGGTGAAGGTTTCAACAGAACACCCCTAACAAAATTGAGACCACTTACTCCAGTTACGTGCATCGCCGCCAGAGGCGTCGTCGTCCTGGGTGGGGAGAAGGTTGATGTGCTCGACGTCTTGCCCAGCATGTTGGAGAAAGGCGCTGAGACTGGCGGCCTCCTCACGATCGAAGCCGTTCGCGAAGACCGCGGTCGGGCGAAGGATGGTCCGCAACAGACTGAGGGCATTGTGCTTACAGCAATTTTCCAATATAAGACGCCCTACTTTAAGAGGTATAGCGTTGGGAACTTGGGCAGCTCCGCCGGTTGTGGAGTGCCAATCTGATGGATCGTCTGCATAATGTATGAGCGAGCGCAGTTCTAGGGTGTCGACGCGATCAAAGGGTAGAAGTAGAATAGGCACAGCGTCCAATTCCGCGCAGTGTATCTTCAGCTTGGCGAGATGATGGTGACGGGCAAGTGCAGAGTCGGGTAAGGGCTTGAATTTGTTCCCGGGAAGGAGATTACTCCACAGCTCGAGTGAGCAGAGTTGGGGCAACGCCGATAACATGATGGTCCAGTGCGGAGACATATCTGTGGTCCCAAGCACAACCAGTTCTTCGGTGTACGCTCGGAATCGTTCTGAGGACTGCGCGAAGCGGAGGAAAGCGGGGAATTTGAGGGCGAGCACTTCGATGTGCTTCAAAAGACGGCGGGAGGTGCGAGGAAGCCAAGCTTTGCTAACAAGTGTACAGTTCACAAGGTCATTGCGATCGGACGTAGGAGTCGGAATAGCAGACAGTAAGTCGATGATGTGGTCTGCGAGCTCCTGGGGCAAAGTGCCTGACGCCATACTCCATAGAATCTGATTTACCATGATAGTAAATGTCTGTACATAATGATTGCCGCATTACAACACCCACCAGGCGGTCTTGTCCAAGCCGATTCAGCAGTGTTCAGTGCGTTCGCGGAGATGATCGATGGACGGCTCTGAGTGCGGGGGTTCGTGTTTCGGGGTCCCACATAATTGTCATTATTTCATTACATGCCCCCGAATACCTCGGAGCGCATCACAGCAGATCACAGCAACCTCGTGGCTCGCGGATGCTCTGTCGCTTGAATTCCAGAGGCTGGCGACGATAAACTGCTCATGCCAATACTACTCATGATATGCAGGGCGAAGATGAGACATGTTGCGAGATGGTTCGTCTGGGGTGGTTGTGATGGGCTCCGATGAACACCTTCAAGTTGTTCGCTGCTGTGTACTAACATAAGACCCGTCGCTGCATTTAGCTGAGAGCAACTCCGCGGGCTCGTCATGACCGTCTTCCTTGACAACATATGTTGTAATTTTTCTTATATATCCCAATTTAGTACTTGGCTTGCCCATTATGGCGTACGCTTCGCTACGAAACTTACGTACATTCAGCCGATGTTTTAGGTGTCTCGATCTACGGTCAGTGTATAGGAATCCTGTAAGTGAGCGGGGAGTACTCGCTCCAGCCACCTTCGCCAGACGCCGCGGCCCACCTCGCTATAGCTCTGGAATGAGTACACGAGAAGCGTGAACCGCACGGTTCGCAGCGTGTCCATCAGTTGCGAGACGTATTCGATGTTGCGTGGAGAAGGCCGAAAGAGAACTTCGAATGCCATGGGTGAAAGGTTCAGACGCAGGTGGCTCAGTGTCTCGGGTGCATGCGCGAGTGCTTTGTCAAACTGTACTGACGCAGAGAGGATAAGATTTCGCGAGATATTCAACTCGAGAATCTCGAGGCGGGCAAGCGAGCGCAGCGCAGTGAGAGCGCTCCCATCTATGATAGAGCTTGTTGGTATAGAATATCAGACTGACAAGTACGAGCTTACCGCGTCCGAGGTATCCAGTGTTCAAGGACAGATGTGTAATTCCTTGGCAGATTGTTTCCAGAAAGACACTAAATGACGCAAAGAAGCTGTCGCTCGGCCAGTACCAACTTTTCTCTCCGAGCAGCGTGACTTTCTGCAGCGTCGTGGGCCCGATGAGGACTTGCAAGACCGCCAGGGTGGCGCTATTGACCTCTCGGAGTGTCACCTCTTCTACACCATATATGCGGCTGCCAGACCGCTGGTTTTTGGAAACTACATTGTCTGGGCCCGTAGAGCTCCGGGTGTCCGATTAGTACATGCAGATGACGAATGCTAGTGAACACCAGAAGGATGTCTAGCAACGGATCGATATGTGATGCAGACAGCTTGAGCGTCCCACCAAATGCAGTACGCTCCTCGATGGGCACAGAGGGCAAGGTCCCCTCTAGGTGTATCACTTCGGGCCGTGGCAGATCGCGGCACATGCAGAGCACCGCACTGAGCGAGCCCTTCCACGAAGCCTTGACGCGGAGCTCGCGGACGTGGCGACGGAGGCGTTCTGAGTGTGCGACGAGATCGCGGAAGACTGTATAATCGTGCCACGTCGGGTTATACGTGTAAGGTGAGGCGAGTGATTCGTATTGGGTTGTGTGGTTCACGACGACTCGCCGCAGAAGGCGTTCGGATGCGTAGGGCATCCATGCGTGGCAGACGAGGCTCGCCTGATACAGGTCGGCGGCGTCGAGCAGCCTGCGGGAGATATGCCCATATCGGAGACATTTTCACGCCCCAGGACTGCAGTCGTGTTCCAGTGGTGACGAGGAAGCTGGTGGTTGGGGTCTGTGGCCCCTGAGAACTACGACCCCGAGCACTGCTGGCCGTCTACTAATCCTCACCGCCTTTTCCTTCCTCTGATCAAAAATTGTCCAATATGTAGAAATACACCTTGAAGCCCACCATCTGATACAATCGACGCGCGTCGCATCGCTTTATCGTTGCGGCACCATGGCTTGTCAACAGTCAAACAGAGCGATCACACCTTCTAAACTCGGCATGCGGTGCAGGCACGTGATCGACGCGACGTTCTCAGGGGCGTTTCTCGTCGTGGTTGTTGGCCGCGACCCTGCTGCCTATCTCAATCTATGGAAATGCGCCATGACCCTTGTAAGTGGCTATGTATCCTTCCTGCCGATGTAATAGCCCACTGAACTGCACCGCAGCATTCGGACGACCCATGGCCAGGCGTGATCAGCACGTCGGCGGCACGGTGGTTCCTGCACTTGTTGAGCGACTCCCACAGGAACTAGTGGACAAGATAATTGATGAGCTCAGCACCGACAGGCGAGCTTTGAGGAGCTGCTCGCTGACATCCCGACGCTGGCTGTCGCGGAGCTCGAGGCACCTCTTCGCATCCTTTACACTCGCAGGGGTGAACGATATTGCGCCCGTGTTGCAGTCAGCGCAGCGCACCCAATCGACGCAGCGCATCCTGTCGAACATTGTTGATCTCACGCTGTTTATTCCGTCCTTCGACTACTTGAAACTGATTGAGAACCTGCCATTACTGCGCGAACTCACTATTTGGGAAATCGACGACCCTGCCGAGGAGGAGTCTCTCTCGATGCCGCGACTGAAGGCCGCAGGACGGACCATTGTAATCCTCGAAGTACACCGCATTTCGATATTCCTAGTGGACTCGCTCCTGTGGCTGTTCGAATCTGTGGGCACGCTCCGTCTTCGGGACCTCTATCACTTCGGCGCCGTGCCGCCGTGCCCCGCACAACACGTCGTCAAGAACCTTGACATGAGATATATTCACCCGAGGCTCCTACGACACGTCTCCATGGTACTAGACCATTCAGCACTCGAGGGTCTTACCACACAGCCTCTAAGCCCTTATGAGGATGGTCTCCAGCCCGTCTTAAACGACTTCACGCAAGCGGTTGGCCGGAATCTCCGGGCATTCCATCTCATGTATTACAGCGCCATGTGCGCAGATTTCGGCCCAGGTAAGTGGTGCGTGACCTCTACAGTTCTCTTTCTGACAGCGATATCCAGCTCGTCTGCCCATATTGTCCTCATGCGCACACATGACATCCGTAACGCTCACAACGGACGCATTCACCCATCACTCCCATCCCATTCGGCCGAGCCGGGCCCTCGCCTTCTTGACGTCGCTCCCGGCAGCCGTCTGCCACGTCAGGCTCGAGCTCAAGTACTACGAGCCTTGGATTCGTGGCGCAACGCTGGTCCAGAAGATACAGGAGGTTGACTGGGCTGCGATTGGCCGAGCACTCGGGGCGTATGCGAACCTTGCGTCTCTGGAGATTGGGGTTAAACGCACTTATCATATGCCAAATCACGAGTCCTTTGCGGACGATCTCTCTGCACAAGCTGCTGTGCTCGAAAGGCTCCCCGCACGGCTGGGAGCTGTTGTCGTCTTTATCTGAGAGCTCCCCTCGTCCTCGCATATTTTCGCTGTACAGATACTCTTGCACGAGAACCAACACAGTAGTAGACAGATAGATTCGGTCTGGGGGCTGCCGTGGTCCCCGGACAGTTGCGACTATACCTTCCAAATATGGCACGCAGGGCAACCACGTGATCTAGGGCGGGCCGCCTTCTTAACGCGACCTGAACGCACGCCTGCGACGCCGACCGCGACTTCAACCGTCCACGTTCCCCAACCCTGTTATCCTTGCACGACGCGACACCTACCTCGTGCCGCTGGGCCATCGACTTCTCGTCACTCGTCACCGCACACTGGTCTAGCGGGACAACCTAAAGGACCTGCGTGCCCATCTGGTACGTGGCGCATTCCTCGCATTGCCAGCCTACAACTAAGGCCGTCGCCCCATGATTAGAAGCAGATACGTGCCTTCGGTTCGACTCCCTTGCTGCCATGCCGTCGAAGACCGCCCTCCTCGCCGTAGCCCTCCAGCAGAAGACTATCAGCACGCCCTCGTTTCTGGCCCGCACAGGCAACAGGCTGTCGATTCTGCCGCCTATCGAAGACGTTTCTCGATTACGCGGAAGGCGCTGCCTCCGGGCGCAAGGAAGGTGCTTTTGCGGTCGGCGCGGCTAAGTGCGCTTTCCTAGCGGCCTACGCTGTTCATCGCGGCACCTCTGGCGAACTCGACGTTGGTTGTCCATCTACTCGTGGCTTCTGTCCTGCCTTATGGACCGAGAGCCACTTCGATGATGCGCAGCGCCATCTCGGTGCCGAAGCGAATTTGAGGGGGAGTATACGAACGAATCAAAGATGGCCCTGCCCATTAGGTGCGTTGTTCCACGCATGCATCTGTGGTTTTGCACGATTTTTAACCACAGATCTTACCAGAACCGTTATGTCCGGGCTTCGCCAAGGTTCTACAACCCTCCTTCGGCCTAGGCTCTCCATCTGCGAATGTCTAGCACAGAGATCGCCGGGCAGCAAGCGTGAAAATTCGACCTGCGCGTGTCGTTCTCTCGTATACGATGCACATCGCAGGTCCTCAGGTTGTGCAGCAGCGGATACCGCCGGGACGTGGTTGTTTCGGTTCATCGACTGGGAGCAAACGACAACTCCCGGGGTCCCAGAGAACATAGCTCCGAGAGCGTATTGCTTTGAATACTTGTGTGTGGCCTTGGACCATGTTGATCCAACAGTCTCAGGTGTGCGTATGTCTCGAATCTACAACGTGTCGAATGCATTGCTGACAAGACGATGTTACTGGGCTGCGTTACCTTGTACTTCAATAGTATAGCCATGCGTGCTCTGCAAAGCCGCCCCGGAATAATACCGTGCCTCTTGGCCTCATCGCGCCCGCTCTCTCCGCCTTTGGTCTGGCCGCAACGCGAAACACGATTATGGGGCCTGGCAATCCGACCGCTCGACGGTACGCGCGCAAGTTGCTGCTTTGTCGAAGACATTTGCGTCGCTATCCATTCTTGTCGATAAATTTTCCACCATCGATACTAAACGCGAACGCATCGGAGCCCTCCGAGTACCGCGCGGGCGATTTCGGCTGTCGCCCGCCCAGCATCTACGGGCCTTCACTGATTCCCGCGCTGCCCTCGATCTTTTGTCGCCGCAAAGAGCGACATCCCTTGCATGGAGACTTTGAATAGTTGTCGCCGACCCTCTGGGCGCTCTTACCCCCAAGGCCCGCCGGATTACGTGCCCGCCCCACGCTGCGAGCACATCGAAGTACTGTCTACTTAGATGCTCCTCGGCTTCTATGCTGTTACTGCTACGAAGCCGCGCGAAGGCAATCACGGTGAACATCTGATGGTACGTCGAAGTGCTGGCCTGCGGTCCCCCGTCGCTGATTCAGGTTTCCATGCAGTACCAGCGACGAGGGCTTGTTTGGTTCAACCCTCGAACATTTCCCTCTGACGACGCGCACAAACGTCAAGTCGGTCACGACTGTTGTCCAGAATGTCGTCTCGTTTAAGTACGTACGCCCGATAATCTAGCACTCGTTTCCTCTACGCTGCCACATGTGCGGTTTATACGTCTCGCGACAAGCTGCTGACTCGGTTTGTCATGGCTACGATGACGCTTTTGGGGGCATCATAAACATATTAGATCAGCGTGCAGCCGGGAAAGAGTTGGAGCTCATGGTTGTGGACTTGAAGATCTGGATATCGGTGGCTCAGATCACTAGGGCTAGCCGTTCGTTTCAAGTATCTCGCGCCCATATGGTTGCAGCTGCGTTTGCATAGGATGGCTAGCCTCATGTGCTTCACCGTCTGTGTCGTTTGCTGCTTGCTGTCCCCACGGACAAGCACTGAAACGGGGAGCGTCGAGGCGTATTGAACGACGAACGACAGTCCCTTCCGAATATGGACCGCTGTGCCGCCGGCGTTTGCCCTCTTATGGAGCACGAACGACGCGTCTTCCGCAGCTATCTCGGACTACATCTCACTGCTTCCCCGACGCGACCCGAGCCGACACGAGCTTGACAGTCAACCGGCCTTACTGCAACAGCCGGCACGACACGGCGCCACGAGACCTGCAAATGAGCTCGCCGACGGTGATGTCGACCTTCCACGTTCCACGGGCCCTGTCATCCTTGCAAGCCCCAGCCGCAGCTTACGCGATACTATAGCACCTTTTACGTGCCAATGTCCTCCCAACTCCTTTGTCGCTCGCTGTCCCACATGCCGACTTCGTGCGCACGCCGGCCCTGCAGCTGGTCTTGTAGGACGCACGCCTGGCAGGCTGGGGGCCTGCGCGTCCAGCTGGTACGTGACACACTGTTTCTTTTGCGTCGAACACCGGCCTCATGCACAGGCCGGCTCTGTAGTGATGCTGGTGGGACATACTACACCTAACAGGCTAGTGGTATGCACATCCATCGGGTATGTTGCACACTGCTCGCATTGCCATGACAACTAACACTGTCGCTCCATGGCCAGATATGCTGAAGCAACCGCATATATCCAGTTCGGCTCCCTTATCGTCATACCGACGAATATCATCTTCGCTGCCACAGCCCTCCAGCTCAAGACTATCGTCGCGCCCTTGTTCCTGCACCGTACGAGCAGCAAGCTGCAGACGGTAGCCTGACCCTCAAGGTACTACGTTCCTCAATCAAGCGCCTGCCACTGCTCTTGAGCACGACCTCTGGGCATCCAGTCGTGCAACGAGGAGAACTCTTTTACAGCCGGCTTGGGGAGCTGTGCTTTTCCAACGGCCAACTTACTGTCTACCGCCACAACTCTGGCGGACTCCACCCATCGTCGCCTGTCTCCTCCCTGGTGGCGATTAACCTACCTTGTGTGCCTGATACTGCTTCAATGATGCACTGCGCCGGCCCGTCGCGGAGGCGAATTTGAGGTCGAGTACATGAGTCAAGCTCATATTTATCCATAGGTATGCTATCCAAAGCACGCACTCGTAGTTTCTTACCATTTCTGACAAGATATCTCGCCAGGATTGCTGCGCCCGACCCTCGCCATTGTTCTGCGACCGGCCGTAGTTCACTACTCGTTCCTTCAGCCCAAGCGCTCTGCCTACGAGATGTGTACGATGCCGAGACCAGCGAGCGGCAAGCACGACAGTCCATCCGACATGCTTTGTCCCGTCTTGTACGATACTCGGCGCAAATCCTTTAGTGGTGCAGCAATGGACGCAGCGGCCTCGGATCGCCGGCCAGAGCGGAGAACGGTGCCTCTCAGGGCCTCGGGGAAGCGAGGACCCAGTTATGCATCGCTCCGAGAACCCGCGCACGGCTGTGTATCGTGTCGATCCGAGGGCCTCAGACGCAGGTGTGTCCCGAACTCACAGTGCGCCGAATGCGTTGCTGACAAGACGACAAGACTAGGCTGTTGCGCCTCATATGTCGGTGGTACGATCAAGCGTGCCCTGCGGAGCCACCGCAGAAGAACGCCGTTCGTCTCGGCCTCTTCGCACTCTTCGCCTCTCGTCTGGCCGTGGCGCAGAATTCAATCACGGAACCTGGTAATCCTGCCGCTTGACAACACGTACGTAGGTTGCCGCCCTGTCGAAGACGTTGGCCTCTTTGTCCATCCACGCCGGCAAGTCCTTTCTATCACTCATAATATGCACGAACGCATTGTAGCCCTTTGGGCGTCGCACAGGTGGTCGCGAATTCAGCTGTCACTCGTTTGGCGTCTGCGGACGTTCGCAGAATCTCGCGCTATATATCCTCGATTTTCTAGCGCTGCAAAGGCCGACATCCGTGGCACGGAAGGTCCAACCACTCAGGCGTCGTACTTGCGGCTCGTTGGATTATATACTCGCCCTACGCCGTGAGTATATGGTAGTGCCGCCCGGGTGCTCGCCGGGTCCTGCCATGTCGTTGACGCAGGATCGTACAAAGGCAAATTTAGTGGATATATAATGGTGCGCTCAAATGCTTGACTACATTCTCATGTTGCTGATGCGCGTCCCTATCCAGTACTAGTAGACGAGAAATGAGATACATACCGTTGGTTACGGTAAAGAATTGCGCATGTTTGTGATATTCGTCTGGCAGCCAAGCACATCAATCAAATACGAAAACAAAGCAAGTAAACCTGAGGATATTATCCTTTGCCGCGAACATAATGGGGATTAAATAAGAAAAACATAGGTGCGTCCCTTGTAGTCCAGCTCGTCCCTTCCGTCTACAGCCATCCAGCGCCGCATCCGCCCTTGTACCGACTCTCGCCCTCACCTCGACGCTCCTGCAGACCCTCGTGCCGACCCTCGCGCCACCGCCGCCACCCGTCCCTCTCCATCTCTAGATTCCTTCCGCGCGGTCAGCTCGATTAGGTTCCTCCAGGGCGCCTCGCGCATGCGCCGACGCAAGGCCAATGTTCGAAGCAGCCGACTTCGGCGGCGCGAGGGGCGCGCCGTGTGCGTTGTGCGCTTCTGCGGGGCGACGCGAAATCGGGAGCTCTGGCGCGCCATACGCAGACAGAGGAGGGATCAACAGCTCGGGACGTCGCGAGCGTGAGGAATGCGGGCGACCCGGCGGCGGTAGATGTCGTGGTGCATGTCGCCGTGCGCCGACTGCGACCGCGCGGACACAATGAGGTGGACACGGAAACTGGAGGCGACTGCGAGGACGAAGTGGAGACGTCGCGTTCGCCGATTAATGCCGTACGCGGCTGTCTCGGAGGTACTGTTGGAATGTTACCGGGGAGAGGGAACAGAGATCGATGCGAGGGACAGGACATGCATGTCGGTGAGAGAATTTTGGGCGGGGATTGCAATGTGCGAAGCAGATAATAGATGGTGACGTGGTCAAGACGCGCAGGGAAGGTCCACAACGCTACTGTGGAGTGGTATCCGGCTCTTCATCGTTCTCTGGCTGGTGTTCAGAGTCCGGCGTGTCTCCAGTGACATCCGATTTTTCGCTATCCTCCAGTAGCTCCAGGCACCTCAAGTCCTCGAGCTCATCAAACTCCAGAATTAGCCTTCCCTTCTCTTCAAGCAATCGCAGGGGATTAGGGACGACCTTCGTGATTCTTTTGAATAATATCGGACCAATCCTGATCCGGAAGGAAAATGTGAGCGAAGGATTGTCGCCAGTGAATATTGCGGCAAATGAGCGATCGAGAGATGCCAGCGCATGTGCGGTGCCTTCGACCATGCCGCATAGCATGCCAAGATCGAGGCTGACTTCCTTGATACGCCAAAGAGTACCCTCCGACCCTAGTGTGTTCTCCGTCCATGTTCCAATGACACAGGTGTTGAAATAATAGCCTGCATGAGTGGCAATACCAGAAACAGGTGTGAGTCACAGAAATTCGTGCAGGTAGCCAATAAATCTCACTAGACAGGGTCAGGAACGGTCTACCCGACGTCAATGTGGGAGAAACCCATACTCCGAACTTGCATATCCCTGCACCATCAGGGTGACTGTGCCGAGTACATAAATGTCGCCCTAGAGCCTGGGCAATCTGTACAAGAGCCTTCTCGTCGTCAAGATGAATCTGCCGTGAATGATGAGAGGTGCCAGGCTGTAGTGGGTAATGTTGCGAGACACCAGTTGGCAAAGGAGAGAAGTTTGGTTTGCCTCCGAGCCGAAGTGAGACAAATATCGGAATTGAACTCGCGGGTACTCTGCAGAGTTCCAGTTCAAAATACTGCAGGTCTGTCAGAACAAGTCTCGGTGGCCAGAAGAACCGTTCGGTGGCCTGCAAGATCCCTATCTGGTCAAGGTGAATGTGTTGGATGTGGGGCTGGGCGCGGATGATACCAAGGAGTTGAGCTAGAGATCTGAGCTTCATGCCGAACAATCGTAGGTGGGTGAGGTGCTGTAATGGACGAAGAAGGGCAGGGATCGCAGCTTCAATCCGCGGTGGAGCTTCTTGTATCACAGGAGGGAACCGCGTGCCACAGCTCGTGTACCAGATATTGTTGGTTTGTTGAAGATGACCACCCACAGACGAAAGGGTTAATGCCAGGCTCGGAACGGGGAGTTCGTCGTCATTAGGGTCTCTATATCTATCGGCACCTATTTGTACCTTGTGTGGAGGAGTCGAAATCTTTGCGGTCTTGAAGATGATGCACAAGCGGTACAGTTCGGCCAGAGATCGAATGCGAAGCTCACTGAACATCATAGGACGACAGATTGTCTGCCAGGTGTGGTTGACCATGGCAAGCGAGTTCAGAAGTGAGATGCGGCTAATGCTGGTTACGACGGAAAATTTGAGCTGAATCCAATAGTACACTAGTGGACAAGAAACGGCTTACACGTCCTCTTTGGCTACAATGATTTCTATAGCAAATATAGCGATCATCGCAATGATCTCGTTGGGCAATGACCCAGCACTACACTCAAATCGCTGTCTCCGCTGCTTGAAGTAGCCTTCTGCAAAGTGTGCTATGTCAAAGGCGAAAATATCTTGCCCAAAGTTGACAGTAGTGCGCAAGTAAAGCTCCGGTGAAATCGGTATGTTGCGATGTTTCTTAAGGGCCACATAGACGACTGGGCGTAGCCGTGCCATCGTTGAGCTCAAGAATTTACTGGCGTCCTGTGAAACACCTGTGGTATGCCGTCGAATACTGTTAACCTGAGCCCTGCGCACTATTCACAATGATGCCTTACCAATAAGTGTACCATTTTTAGTGAAGAATATGCGACCCTCAGGGCGCGAGAATCCACAGCCTAATATATCTCCTGCTGCAAGGATGTACGGTTGGCTTACAACTAGACGAGCCATATCTCTGCTTCCATGAGCTCACCTGCAATGGTACTTTCCCCGGGAGGGGAGGATGCGCCTGCTACAAATTCCTTATAGTATCCCAGGTATGGTAGACCATCATCCTGAACCTGAGCTGCAGGTGGTGGCGCCAGTAGCAGGTCTTGTATGCCAGCAGCTTTCAATAACCAGTCGTTATTCTGGTTCTCAGCGACCAAGCTGTATTCTAAAGCTCGTCATCAAAGACCACTACAATGAAAATAAATTGGATACAGACGCCATCATTATATACATGCTGAATAAGCAAGTGAACACTGTCAGTGCATGAAGTTATAGCTAGGACCTGTCAAGTTGTCAGCTCACCTTGAACCACCATCGCAGAAGAGTGTATTGATGGACACTTCATAGTAGTAAAACAGATGATCTGAGTGAACACTGTATTCTGCGACATATGCTCTCGATGACGCCATGCCAAGGTGATCATTGAACGTCGTGTAAACCGTGCGTTTATCCTGGCTAAGGTCCGAGTCTGGATCTGCATCGAAGTACCTAACTGTGTCCCACTTCTCTGGCAATACTCCATAGTTAGAAAAAGGGTCGGGAAGGCTCTTATCCAGTACTATGCCTTCCAGATAGCTACGCGCATGAGGAAGATTGTCGAGCGTCGGCACGACAATGAGTGGTCGAGGATCAAAGAGACCCATGATCAGAAGAAGGCGAGGAAAGCTTTACCACAACACTCAAGCATGGTATATCTTATAGGATGCATGCACAGCTTGTACGCAGGTTTGAAGAAGCTGTCGTGAATGCACCGCAATGCTCTATGAAGGTGCACAGCCTTTCGACGTACTGCATTATTCCCGGCAGTGCGAGTACCACTACACGTAGGCGCAACGTGTACAATATCGTATGCAAGACCAGAATCCGGAGATGAATGAGCCAATGAATAAGCTGTGCACTCCCCTATCAATAGTTACCGCTGGTTGCTTCCAAAGCGCCGTTGCGCACTCGATCGAGCCGCCGCCAGCTTCTCACGGGTGCCAGTATGTCGGATGCGACCAATGCATAGCCGTCGCTGTCTGCGACGGATTTCAAAGCTCAGCGACCTGGGCAAGAGCGGAACAATAGGACACATCAATCTCCGCACATGCTATGGTAAGATCAGCGTAATTGGATTAGGCGCGAACGTAGCACTGGTACCAGCGTCTGCGTGGCTGTGGGTGTTATTGCTGCCACAGAGAGAGAAGATAGTGTTAAAAGCAAAGCGGGGTGGTCGTAAAGGCTGTGCAAGCAACAGGTGAAGGAATGCGGAAATTCTCACATCCTAGCGTTGTAGTAACGTCACAATTAGCAGTGCACTGGTCGTATGCTTCCAGACAATGACGGGACTCGATAAGCTGCGGCAATCGACAAATGGGGGGTGCGTTCGATAACCTGCCGGATGCCGTTCTCGTCTACGCCGTTGGGTTGGTGATATTCGTGTTCGCTGCGCTGCTAATCGCAATGCTTGACCTAGTCCCATGCCCATGCTTGTGTGCGGTACTGGCCCTTCTGGTGCTGCGGGGTCCTCATGCGCATATGGCAGCTGGGCCCTGAAGTCTGAGTATCTATCCGTGCACGAGAACATGCCCAATAAGATGCTCACTGGGCGAGGGCGAGGGCATGCTCCTGAGCGGTGGCACGGCTATGATCGGCGAGGAAAATCAGCACTTGAAAGATGTAGCTCACAGCCCCATAGAGAGTGGCGCAAGTGAAGCTTCGATTGGCACAGGCAAATGCCACGCAGAGTGCCAGCTTGTTGTGTGGTAGAAGCCTTAGTACTAGTAGGTGAGCAAGGGCATTCTGTGAGTATGTAATGAGCGGAGGCAGGCCTTAGCTCAATAGCGGCCTACGACAGAAGAGAGTGGGTAACCATCATATGTACGTACGAGTGGCAAGTAACGGTGGCGAGACGAGCGTACGGGCATGCGTGAGCAGAGTCCTGGCGACGACGACGCTTCTAGTACGCACTGTCGTAGAGGGAGAAGCGCACCTGAAATCGCCGAGCACCGCGTCGAAGCTTTCAGGTAACGCGAAGCTATGTGTTGAGAAAGAGGGTTTGAGGAATGTGTCCGCTGTCCACGGTCGTGGTTGTGGCGCAGAGCCACAACGACGTCGCTTTGAAGCGTCCGGAGACGGATCGGTGATCTCGGTCTAGATCGGCGCATCAATGGTAGAGCGCCAGAAGCCGCCTTCGACCCCGCCGCCCTCTCACTTCTCTCGCTGCTGTCACCGGCGGGAGCTTCTTTCACTTCGGCCATCACCATATCCTAGTATTTTAGGCTACTCTAGTCGCACTTTCTCTCAGGTGCTCTTGGGTAACTCGATAATAACTGCGGCAGATGCGTTCTTCGGCAAGAACTGCGGGTCTCGAGCGTCAGGTGTGCTCGCCTTGCCCTTCCATAGCCGAGTAAACGACTGAACCACCGACAGCTGTACTGCACTTAGCATACGCGGCTTTGACGGTCTTGAGTTTTGGTTCGTGTTCATTCTCATAGATGACACGCGCCAATAACGTCGTACTGCGCAACCAACTTGAAGATCGGCTCGACAACGAGCTGATTCAGTTCGGCGGCCCAGACACGGGAACTTATTAAGTTACACCGGACTAGCCACCCAGAAGCGCCCAAGAGCGGCTAAGACACGCTGAAGAATTTCCGAAAAGCCCAAAAAATGGCACAAGCGGGAATCGAACCCGCAGCCCGAAAGTAACCGCAGCGCACTACACCACTAAGGCATAAGACCTTGCAAATATCAGGTTGGAATTGCCCTATAGTACCACTTTTCTACCTCAAAGTCTTAGCTGTAATATTGTAGCCAATTATCAGGTATTAAAGCATTGGAATGTAATTGTACAAAGGTATATTCTAATGGCATGGCTAAGACATTGATGTGGCTAAGACACCAGTGTGGCTAAGACATTGAGTCATTAAATATTTGCTATTGATTCTGCTTATTGTACAAATGTATATCCTGATGGCGTGGCTAAGACACTGACGTGGCTAAGACACCAGTGTGGCTAAAACACCGGAGCAGATGAACTATACTCAAGTGGAATCAATAGCAAATATTTAATGTTCCAATGTCTTAGCCACGCCATCAGGATATACATTTGTACAATTACATTCCAATGCTTTAATACCTGATAATTGGCTACAATATTACAGCTAAGACTTTGAGGTAGAAAAGTGGTACTATAGGGCAATTCCAACCTTATATTTGCAAGGTCTTATGCCTTAGTGGTATAGTGCGCTGCGGTTACTTTCGGGCTGCGGGTTCGATTCCCGCTTGTGCCATTTTTTGGGCTTTTCGGAAATTCTTCAGCGTGTCTTAGCCGCTCTTGGGCGCTTCTGGGTGGCTAGTCCGGTGTAACTTAATAAGTTCCCGTGTCTGGGCCGCCGAACTGAAACTCTTGCGACAACGCACTGAAGCTGGAGGGCGTTGAGGCGCGTGGGTGCGTGGGTGTGCTCTTGGACGTCAAATCGCAGCTTACGACTCAGCTACGCGACAGCTACCCGAGCAGGCCTTCAGGACGCACCCGTATGCACTTGATCGCGCCAAGCAGACGAAAGCGTACCTCGACATGGTTGCCGCGGCGAATGGTGGGCCGTACCCCGACGTGCTATTCACGTGCGCAGGAGAGTTGTCCCGAAAGTAAACCAGAGAGGAGTTGTACGGGTGCGCAGAGGAGAAGTACCGGGTACGAGTACGGCAGGCCTTGGTGCGTGCGAATCTGCGTCTGTCTTACTTCTGAGTACTCTTACCCCGTGGAAGGCAAAACGCCTTGTACGAGGCAGCATCAAGCGCAAGATCGTCCCCGCGCCTTCCATTTTTTTAATCGCTGGCCGCTCGCCGTGCTCGCATAGCAGGTCCCTCGTTCAAGGTACGTATCCGTCCATGATGTGGCCATTCCTGTCCTGCTAACGGATAGACGACACATATCTCAAGTCGTATAGCACAGGACCTTAATTCATGGCATTAATCCCCACGCGTTCTTCCTAGCAACCGTCCTCAATCCAAGGTCACGCTCGAGCTCGGGAGACCGACGCTAGGAACGCACTCTTGGCGCATGCTTCGGGCGGCGCGCGTGCCAGACGTTTTCGTATCTCATAATGGTCCACTAGGCACGTCTTGTGTTGCAGCATGTGCACGTCATTCGGGAGCAGCAGCTTTAGACAGGCTTATGCGGCCGTCAGTGCATGGTGCGTCCTGCTTTCCTTTGGTATACAAGGCGCCTGTTAACACAAGTGAATGACAGACCGGGGTATTGCTGCGACAAGAAGATATCGACAAGACGACTGAATTTCATATCATGAGGCATTTCGACCACGTGCACAGCCAGAGCCTCGTGTCGCCGTCACGGACGCTTGATCCCCGCTGCTATACCATTCGATACTCCCTGCACTCTTTGCTGCACCGTCTAATCTGAACTTCAATGCCATATATACGATCGGACAACTCATGCCTGCCGCCGCCGTGCTCGATAGCAAGCAACGAGCTGCTCCGAGGCGACGTGGCGAAGCAACGCCAACACAGCTACTTGCACCCGCGCCCCATTCTCCGTATATCCCGCTCGAGGTCAGCGCCGCTCACAGTCATCAGCCTCTCTTGACGCCGCCGATGTGCGCCACTCCGAGCACCCGCTCGTATCGGTCACAGACTATGTCTCCTGGCTTGTCGAATCCACGGTCTCGCGCGTGCGCAGCACCTATCTCGCGCCATCGACGCAGTCCACGTCGGCTTCGACATTCACGTAAACACCGCGCGTGTAGGCCTCAGGTGGCCCTTCGTCCTTCGCTCGTCTGGCGATGACGCACTCGCGAACGTCGCGCGCTCTCTACGGCCCACAGTACCTGAGAATTTCTGGATCGACCTGCATGTTCTATGAACACTGCCGTATCCAAACTATGACCCAATGATCCAGGTCCAGGTATGTCTTGAACCTGTGGTGCCTCTGTACGCATTGCTGATAGGGCTATGCGTCCAGATTACAGCATGATGATGGCGCAGTCGAGCGTACACCGCGAAGCGACCCCGGGAGAAGACCGTGCGCCTTCGCCATTTCGCACCGGATCTCTCCGCTTCCCCTCTCGCTTCAGCACGAAACTCTGCCTCGGTACCCTAGCGGCTTACGCGCCAACGGTTATTCCTCTGCTGTGGGCAATTTTTCCTATCCGCCCCCTTGAGCAGGATCTTTCCACGGCCGACCCTGGAGCTGGCGTCACGACAGCGTGAACTTTGTCATATGTCGCCTCGCGCCTTCCGGCCATGGCTGTCCGATCATCGTTAACGGCAGTATCGTACACAAAAAGTCACAAGTGGCTGTTGAAAATCCCCTGAACATTTTGCCTGGCTTGATTAGGTGTACGTTACCCGCCGTGCGTGGCCGACGCCGAAGAAGCTTCGTTCAATATCTTCGGTACCTCGATGTCTTCTCCCACAATACTCCATCGCTCACTCATGCTTCCATGTTAGTACTAAATAAATAAAATATTTCACCGGTTGTTGGGCGATCGCGCCGACATGTTTTCTGTGGTCGGCTGGCCAGCGTATTTCCAGGCCGATGCTCGTCTGGTTCAGCCCTCGGCATTGCAGCTCTGACGGAGCGCACGAATTTCGGGCCCGTCACGACCATCGTCTCGAGGGCTGTGTCGCGCAACGCACGCTCGCAGTTGATGACTGGCACCTCCTTTCTTGTGCGCTGTCACGATCTAGTTTGTCATAGCTACAATGGTGCCTTTGGGGCTTCACAAGCACGTCGGTCATTGCGCAGATAGGACAGAGTTGGAGTATTCTAATGTCCTCGAGTATTCGGATATCGGTGACCTACACTACCAGGATGAGATGATACTGTTCGTTGAGCGTTCCGGCGCACGCCGCCCAGGAGGCAGGCCTTGAGATCACGAGAAAGAACTAAGATGACCATCCTCATTTGCGTGTATTGGTGAGTTGCATCTGATTCGATGTTATTTGAGTCAGCTGCTGCTTGGTATAAGCGAAAGAATGGCCCGGGAGAGGAATGGAGAATCTCGACTGACGAATGACAGACCCTTCCAAATATGGACCGCTGTGCTGCCGTGGGCGTTTGCCGGGAACGACGCGCCTTCCGCTGTCTCTTCCTGCGTCCTCGCTCCACCGTTTCTCGACGCGACCTGAGCCGATACGAGCACGACAGCCCAATGTCTCCATCGCTGCGACACGAGACCTGCAAATGCGCTTTGAGCTTTGCGGCTCTCCGCGTTCCCCAACCGCCCTTGCGCAATTGCGCGATGCAGCACCTCTCTCGCGTCGCCGCGCCCTGACATCCTGTGTCCTTCGTGTCGAACACCGGCCTAGTGCACAGACCGGCTCCGCAGCGACGTTGGTGGGACATAAGTACCTCGCGACAGCATGGATGGCCAATAAATAGAATCTCATTGCATTACGACGACGAATACGCTATTCTGCGAATATCTTAAGCTGTGAGACGCCTGCATATACTGTTTGCCGAGGATGCTGAGCAGATGCTATGTAGCGTCTCGATGGACGGCAGCCCGGAAATATCGAGTCACAGAGTATCTCATAGGCGAGATCTATCGGGTGGTTGGACACATTACCATAATCCTCACCTGTTTTTCTGGCACTTATGCAGTTATAAAATCGGCGCGATATCCATTTAGTCAAAGTCGAAGTGAATAAGATGCAGGAATAAGCAAAAAACCACTGGCGTGTCAAGGCGGCTGCTATTGTAATCCTCTCCGACTACATTTCAGTGCAGGATCTAACAGAAACACTGGCGTCTCTGGACACTTCGCTCGCCGAAATCTCCAGATGGGCAAACCCTCCGCTTAGATTCCGTGGTAGTGTAAGTACTGGCTGTGTCTGCGATCAGAACCCGCCATCCAAAGGGTCATTCACAGTGTAATGCCGTTGCTTCGCGCAGAGGGGAGACTACTATTTGACTTCCCACGTCATGAGTCCACCTTATACCCTGGCAACTCCTTCTTGACATTTTCCGTCTACATGCGTCGTCCAGTCCAGTATCAGCTCTCGTTCTTGTCCAAGCAACGTCTCTGTTGGGTCTCCAAAGCGCGCACCGCCAGGTCGCCCAAGGACCACACTCGCTTCTCGTGATCATCAGGCCCTCGCCCTCTCCCGTAGCAGGCGCACGAGGGCCATCAATCCACTGCGTTGGACGCGCTGAGCGGAATGTTGGCGGTTATGTCTTCTTACGGTCTTCTCTTTGCCTTGGCGCAATTCATGCCAGAGGATCTCAACGTAGTCTCCTTGTAAATTTTGCAACGCCGTATTGGCTGCTTGCGCCACTTGAACCTTTGGCTTCGAACGTGCTACATTGAAACGGGCTTGGTCAAGAGTTTCAGTTGGGCAGCCCAGACACGGGAACTTATTAAGTTACATCGGACTAGCCACCCAGAAGCGCCCAAAAGCGGCTAAGACACGCTGAATAAATTTCCGAAAAGCCCAAAAAATGGCACAAGCGGGAATCAAACCCGCAGCCCGAAAGTAACCACAGCGCACTACACCACTAAGGCATAAGACCTTGCAAATATCAGGTTGGAATTGCCCTATAGTACCACTTTTCTACCTTAAAGTCTCAGCTGTAATATTATAGCCAATTATCAGGTATTAAAGCATTGGAATGTAATTGTACAAAGGTATATTCTAATGGCATGGCTAAGACATTGATGTGGCTAAGACATTGAGTCATTAAATATTTGCTATTGATTCTGCTTATTGTACAAATGTATATCCTGATGGCATGGCTAAGACACTGATGTGGCTAAGACACCAGTGTGGCTAGACATTGAGTCATTAATATTGCTATTGATTCTG